GGGACTGGGGAGTTTCCCACACTTCAGAGACCCACTCCCATACTCCCCCTGCTATGGGAGCCTCTATCTCATTGACTGGCCAGAAACAGGCATAGCCTTCACAGAGGTCCCTAGACCCCATCGAGGCAACAAGCTCAAGGGAGCTGGGTGCTGCTGCAGCACCTGGGCTGGTGATGGTCCCAATGTGGCCCCCAATCAGGGTCCCACCTGCCTCCTATCATGAGGCAGGGCAGCCCCCTCCTGAGTTATCTCCCCACAGGGCTGGTGTTCCAGGTGGATGGGATGGCCCTGGCCTAGGAGGCCCAAGGTCTGGGTTGGAGCATTGACCCCATTGCCAAGCCTTGGGAAAACTTAGGAAAGTGGGTCTTCCCAGCCCTGTCTCTTCACCTGCACACGACAGGTTAGGCAGATGTCCCTGCAATTTTTCCAGGCTCACCTGGGGGCTTTGATGAGCCCACCACGCTTGAGGTCCATCCTCGAATCATGGAACCTGTAAGGATTAAAGGGCTCCCAGCCTCCTCTGAGCCACTGAAGACACGGGCACCATGTGGCCCCCACAATGCGCCCCTCAAGGACCCCTGCGCCTCTGGGCCTGCTGAGGCCTGCATCCCAGAGGACCACGGTCTGGCAGCAACCCCAGGGTGGCCAGCTCGCAGGACAGGTGGAGAGGACAGAAACCTTTTAAATTTTTAAAGTTTATCTCCACACCCAACGTGGGGCTCGAACTCATGGCCCCAAGATCAAGTCGCATGTTCCACAGACCGAGCCAGCCAGGCGCCCCCAGAAACCTTTTTAAAAGGGAGAGTGGGTTGGAGGGTGTGGGGAGATGGGGGGGCGATTACTGATGAAATGCTCTAAAATGCTCTAAAATTGATTGTGGTGATTGTTGCACAACTCTTTGAAAAACTAAAAACTACCCAGGAGCACCTGGGTGGCTCAGTCGGTGAAGCTTTGGACTCTTGATCTCAGCTCAGGTCTTGATCTCAGGGTCGTGAGGCTCACACTGGGCTCCGTGCTGGGTGTGGAGCCTACTTAAGAAAAGCAAAAAATAAAAATAAAAGCTACTTAAATCGTGTACCTTAAACGGGTGCATTTTACGCTATGTGAATCCTATCTCGAGAAAGCTGTTTCTAAGACGGGGAGGCGGGGAGGGGGGGTTCTTAGAACAGCACGTCTCAAATTCAGTGCCCAGCACAAGCTGTACAGATAATTCGGAGGATGCCCAGCCAAGTTCCGGCAGCCCGGCTGAGGGGGGCTGAGGCGGTGGGGCCGAGTGCCTGGGACCCAGGAGGAGACCCAGGAGGCGACCCAGGAGGCAGCACAGGCCCTGGGAGAGCTCTCAGGCAGAGGCCGTGGCAGGTTTCCAGCTGCTACAACCAACACCCCGAAACCAGGCTGTGCCCTAGGATAGCCGAACCGGGACCAGCATGGGGATTTTCCTCTAGCCCAGACTCCCCTGGCCCTGCTCCCGCAGCCTGGGCACACTTGAGGGGGGCGGGGAGTGGGGCAAGCTGCCCAAGCTGCTCCCTCTAGAGGCCCCACCCCCAGGTGGCCCCCTGCTTAGAGAAAGCAGGGGGCCAAAACGGGCAGGTCCTTTGGACTGTCGCAGCCGACTCCACAGAGATCACAGAAGAACAGTTTGTTCGTTTCTTTATTGTGGAGTATTTTACATGCAAGAACCCAAACTAGAGAGACAACATCTGGAAGGAGAGCCAGTGGGTGGATGGACGTGCTCAGCCTTGAGGGCACTGACCCACCCTCCAGACCTGGCTCTGCCCGCAGAAACGCACAACAGCAACAGAACGTCAGACTCCGGGGACAGCTGGACAACTGACGTGACACAGTTCTCTCCGCGGTAGCCCCCAACGATCCTGAGACCCTCGCAAATTAAGTGCAAACTTTAGAAAATAAATCTCCGCCCCCCGTTCCCCACATGAGAGGAGTGGAACTCTGGGGTTGACAACTGTCCCCAGGGGTTGCTGGCTGCAGGGGAAGCCCGGCGTGGACCCCCCTGCACAGGGAGGGCAGGAGGTGGGCACTGGGAAAGGCAGGCACCGCAAGGGGCGTCTTCTGGATGCGCACACGCCCTGAGCCACGGAGGCCAAGCTGAGAACGCAGGACTCCTGCATGGAGCTTTTCCCCAGCAAGCCCACAGCCCCCCTCAAACCATCCAGAAGGCTGGGCCGGGCTGGGTTAGAAACGGGTGTACGTGGAGGCAGAGTGGGGGTGGGTGGCAGGAAGAAGAGGAGGAGCAGGTGTGTGGGAGACCAAGCCGCCATCCGCCCCACGATGCTGGAGGAGTCCAGATACCTGCTGCCCCCGGGGCCATCCAGAGCCCTTGCCACCAGTCACCCAGGTGGGGGCCTTGAGTGACAGTGCAGGCCCCACACCTCCCCAGGCCCCCTTGCTCTGGACCCCTGGGTGAGCAAGGGAAGGGCAGTGAGCCAAGGCAGACGGCGTGGTCGCTCACACTGATGGGGCCGACAAACAAAGACAGGACAGACAACGGACCTACAGTCACCCTTCCCTCTGGCTCACGCCAGCAACAAGCCCTGTCAGCTCAGAAAGCCCTTGTCCCATGCGTGCTAAGCAGGTGGGTCACCTCTTGGCCTGGCCCCAGTCGGCCTGCTTGGTGCCTTGGGCTCCCGGACAGGGACCGCTTTGGGGCAGGCCGGTCAGAAACCCACCCGTGCCCTGGGTCACCGCTGCCCGCTGGCCCCAAAGGCAGGCAGGAAGGAATGGTTAGTTTTCTCATCTTAGCACACAATGAACACAGAAAAGGTTCAACACATCCCCAAGAAAATATTTTGACAAAATAAATATTTTAACCTATAATCAGGTATAATTAGTGCTTATAAGGAATCCCAGCAATAATTTAGTGTAATTAAGTACATACCGTATCTGTGATTTCTAACACTTGTGCAGAGGCTGGTGGCTCGCGAGGGTCTCACTCTCCTGGGGTGTAGGCACTGGCCAGCTTGCCTGCCACAGCTCTGCTCCCCTCCCTAACCATGTAGCCCCGGGGCTGTGCTCCCCAGATGGAAGGCAGCCAGCAATCATGTGGTCCCTGGGGACAGGAAGGGCTGAGCAGCACCCCCTTAAGGCCACCTGGGCCCCTACTTGGCTTTTTGGGCAGGCCTCAAGCAAGTGTCCCCTCAGCCTCCAGGTAGGGGCAGGTTGCCTCTGGGCCTGACGTGTGTGGGTGACAGCAGGAGGGGCAGCTCCGGGCCGGGAAGGCAGGGAACACTTCCCTGCGTGGGCCAGCGCCTTCCTGTCAGCTCCCAGGGTTCACCACCACCTGCTGCCCAGGGCTGGCCTGGTCTCTCCAAGGCCAGCCTGGAGTTGGGGGGCAGCTCTGGACCATGGGTCCAGAGCAACTGTGCTGGGGTCTCCCCAAGCAGACGCAGGCCTCGGCTTTACTCATGCCAGGAGCCTCCTGTCCCCTCAGGACCCCGTTCTCGTGGGGACTTCCCTCTCTACAAGGCAGGGAGGCTGGCTCTTCCCTCAGAAGATGCTGGGCTCGGCGGTTGTGGGGTCACGGCTGCCGCAGGCCTGACCCCCGAGGCCCAGCTACAAAGGGGGGCCCCTGGCCCTCGCAGAGACTAGTGCTCGGGACTGCACCTCAGGGCCAACAGCTGGGTTGCTGGGTCCAGCTGGACCATCCCAGCCACCTTCTCTGCAGCTCATGTCAAGCCAGCGGACTTCAGACCTCTGAACATCCAAGCTCTGCCTGTGAACCACGTCGAGGAGAGGTGTGCAGGCAGACTGAGGGGCAGGGGTCAGGGGGAGAGTGGAGGGCAGGGCCGGAGTCAGGCTGGCTGAGCTCTGAGAGGCGCTTCCTGCATGTCCTCTGAGGACCTGGAGTGTGACCTCCCCAGCTGGTCCAGCCAGACCCCGGGCCTGTCACAGGGAAGCTGAGGCGCGCGACTGGGCATGGGGTTCTGGGCCGGGTGGCGCCTCGCTCTCCAACGGAGGCGTCCAGGGCCCGGTCCCAAATGCTTCTCCCAGAGCCCGAGGCACTGGTGTCAGCCTGTGTCGACGAGCTCCCTGCTCCAACTGCCAGGCGGGAAGGGATGGCCGCACAATGGCTCACACACCCACCGAGCCTTCCCAAGCAAGCCAGAGCAACTAACTCCTCCCCAGACGGGGCCGACCGTGTGAGGGCCGCGGGCGGCGGCCACGGGGCAGTTGGGTTTCCAGTACTGTAGCTCTGTGGGGGCTAAGCCGCGTGCCTCTCGACTACCACCCGCGGGGCGCATGCCGTCCTTGCAACTGCCCTTGGCTCTCCCTCGGCACGCCAGGAGCCTGCACGGACCCCTTGATCCCAGGCTCAGCTACCGAGCCGGCTCGGGCCGGCGCTCGGCCTAGCAGCTTCGTGACGGAGAGAGGCTCAAGCGGACAGGAGGCCTCACACACAGGCGCGCACAGAGCCTTTGCAAGCGCCGAGCACGCCCAGTGCCGCAGGGTGACCCACGTCAGGGAGCAGCATTCCAGGGAGGGAGACCAAGTCCACGGGTGCAGACAAGCCCTTTCTGGAACAGGGGCACGGGAGGGTAGGCCGGTCCAAGAAGACCCGCCGAGGCAGGCACGGGTGGGGCACACGGGGGAAGGGGCTGGGGTCTGACCCCCCCCCCGTGGAAGGGGGGGACCGGAGAAAAGACAGTCCAGGTGTCTCCTCAGGAAACGGTCCCACGGCCTGCCCTTCCGGGGAGGACATATGGGCAGAGGGAGCCCATGGGCAGGAGGGGCGGGGGTGGGGGCAAGAGCCTCTGGTTGCAATGGGGCTGTCCCACCACCCAGACGGAAGAAGGTGGCTAAAGTTGGTCCTGCCACATGGGAGGCCTGGGAGCAAACACAGGGGTGCTTCCATTGGAGACGCAGCAGTACAGGACCATGAGGGGACTGCAGATGGGGGGTGGGGGGCCAATGCCTCGTTTGGACCGGGACGGGGGGGGGACAGGAGGTGACCTGCTGTCTGGGGAGCCGAACCGTAGACCAGCTCACAGGGCAAAGAGGGCGTCCTCTGATCGCTCTGGCTTCTTCCGGCCGGAGGGGTTTGAGGCTGGGGCTGGGGCGTCCCCTGGGGGCGAGGGGAGGCTGGGGACCATTTCGGCAGCTTTGGCTCTTTCTTCCAGGAACTTATCGAATTCTGCAATACAAGACCCGGGCAAGGGCCAGGATTGGTAGGGGGTTAGGCCCGCAGCGAGGCTCAAATGACCACGTCCCACCTGCTCCCCTCGGAGCCCCCTTCACTTGTGTCAACGGGGGTCGTGCCCCGCCCCCGTGCGGATTCCCACCCTCAGCGCCCTGGCCTGGGCTGCCTGCCCTCTGCTGCCCGAAGACCCAGCCTGGATTCCCTCCTCTGCTGCCTCCCAGGCAAGCGGGAAGCCTGGCTGCCAGCAGGTGGTACTGGGGGAAGGGGGAGTGAGGATTCCTGCCCCACCTTCAAAGTGGAGCTTTTCCATTCTCCCCAGCAGCACTGGGGACAGGACAGGGCAAGCCAGAGGGGCAAGTTCCTACTTAAACTTGACAGAGAACATCCCCCCACCAACTCTCATCCACCACCAAGGTTCTGCCAGTGGAGGGGGGCTGAGCAGATGGTCTGGCGGTGCAGAGGAGAATGGGGTGGGGGTGGGGGTGAGACAGGAGGAGCATGACGGGACCTGACCTATCATCCCCTGGCATCCCCAGAAATGAGGTCACAGGACGCCAGGCCTGAGAAGTGCCCTCTGTGCCCTGTGGACATGGCATGTATCTTGTCTCTCTGCTGGACTGAGAATTTGGGGGGAGGGACAAACTGGTTAGGACTGCAAATCTGGGGACCATGCTGACCTCAGGTGGCAGCCTGGACCTACTCATCATTAGCTCTGTGACCTTCTTAAAGTCCTACGTTGTTTCCGCCACTTCCCTGGTCAGCACAGGGCCTGGCTGGGGCAGAGCAGAGAAGCCCCCAGCAGAGAAGGCCAGGCCAAGCAAGGATGGGCACCAGGAGATGCTCTGGCAGTAGAGGCCCTGAGGAGGAGGGGGTACCAGTCCCTGTGCACCCCAAGACCCCCGGGGAGGAGGAGCCAACGGAGGGTGGGGAGCTGGAAAGGTGCTGGCCAAGTCGTACCTTCACTCGTGACGCCTTCCTCCAGGTCATCGCCCTTCTGCGGGAGGAGCAAGGAGAGCAGCATTAGGGCCCCACTCTGGCCACACTGTCTGAGCAAACCCTGTCACCTCCCCTTCCTGGGGTTGTGCAGTAGTCAAGTACTGCTTGTGGAGACCCGGAATCCTTGTTTTTCAAAAAGCAATAACAAAACCAAACCAAACCCCCAAACCGAGTAGTTCTCAGCTTTGATCCTCCAGAAGGGCCAAAAAAAAAAAAAAAAAGGCACAGGCTGGTTCCCTGGGTTGGGCTCCGGACAGGACCACAGCAGGCCACTGCCCAGCCATGGAAACTCTCCCAGAGCAGCAGGGGCCTCAGGGAAGCTGAGCCCAAAGCGTGCCCAGGGCCCCCTCAGGTGCCCATTCGCTCAGCAGATGCACGGTTCTGAGAACACACCGTCCGTGCCAACAGCTGGGAACTGCATGAGGCCTGGAAGGGACAGAGCCATGAAGCCCCGGGCACAGGGCTGATACCAGGCAGTCTTTGGCCGCTGAGTGCCGTCCCACCAGAAGCTATGTCACGCAGCCTCCCCTGGCCCAGATTTGGTCACCTGCTGCCGGTTTCTGAGAAGCCATGGACGCTCTAAGAGCTCTTAACAATGCAGCTTGTTTGGAGAACGCAGTGGTCGCTGGGAACAGGGAAGGGAGCTGGACGGGGAAGTGGACAAGGCCTTGGGCTCAGCCAGGAGACCTGGCTTCCTTCCTGGCTCTGCCATGACCTGCTGTTCAGCCTTGCTGGAAGGGTCCCTCCCTGTTTCTGAACCCTGGGGCCCCCCTCGTGAGCTGAGTGCCTTGGTCCTTCCTGCTTTGCTTCTTTCTGTGAGAGGAGCGATTTCTTTTCTAGGCATTCCATTGGGAAAGAGGCCAGGGGGCATTTTCTTCCTCCCCTGGCACGGCACCCGGGTGTCTGCCTTGCTGGGCAATGAGTGTCTTCAGAAAGCCTGGCCTTGTGTGGAGGTGGCCCCTTAGAGGGCTGTACCTTCATGTAGAAGGGGGCCGAGCCTGCAGCCCCCTGCCAGCCAGGCCAACCCTGTGGTTAAAGATGCTCTGTTCTGGGGACAGGGTCCCCTGAAGAGGGGGCAGCGAGGAGCAAGAGATGAGGTGTCTCCAGGACTAAGGGAGACTCTGCCCAGCCCATGCCCTTGGGCAGGCCGCTTCCCCTCCCAGAGTGCATTTCTTCATCAGCCCCCTGGCCAACAAACCCCATTCTGCCTCCCACACAGCCGCTGCCAGTAGACGTGCTTCATAAGCAGCAGAGAGAGGGACCAGCCACAGCAGCCCTCCTTTCTTGGGACCTGCTACCATTTGCAGATGCATGATGTCCTCACCTTCCTGTCCTAGCTCTGCGGATAAAGATAATAGTCTCTAGGGCAAGGGTTCTTTCAAATCCAAGCTACCAGAAGATGCTGGGGAAGTTGGAATGGCAGTAAATTGAAAAAACACCCAACTCATGTCCGCATAATTTCACAGTGGAAAGGAAAAAAAAATTAAAAATAAACCCCACTAGGATCCAAAAAACCCAAAGCAAAAAGAACCAAAAAACCAAAAAACAAACAAACAAAAACCAAAAACCCAAGCACACACACAGCTGCTACACTAAAGTAACTGGGGGACAAGTGTGTGTTCCGGAGCTAGCCAGAGCCCTGCCTGCCGCGGCCCCGGGGCGGCCGGGGTTCAGGAGCTGTGCCCGGAGCAGGTGCCCTGGGGCAGCCACAGCCCGGGGTGGGCAGGAGGGCAAGTGAGCAGAGCTGGCTCGCCACCCTCCTCCGCCATCCTGTGGCGGGAGCAGCCGGTGGCCCCGGGGCCTGTCGTCAGAAGCTCTCTGCCTCGCCACAGCCCGCACGCGAAAGAGAAAAGTCGAGTCTCACCAGGTCCGTCCTGAGCCACACTTCAATGTCGTCCATGACAGAGGGCTGCGCAACGGGGATCTATGGAGGCGGCAAGCAGCGGGTCAGGCAGCCCCACAGCCAGGCGAGGGGAGACAGAACACCGAACAAAGGAAATCGTCAAAAGCAACCCCCAAACGAAACCAAAACGTACACAGAGCAAAAAAACGCGTTGGCACAGCAGGTGCGGGCAACACAAGGCAGCCACATGTGAAATGGCAGGTGAGGGAAGCGATGAGGTGGCCAGTTCTAAGCAACACGGCTGACCGGCAGGTGCCGGGGGTTGGGGATGGGAGGGCAGCGGTACGCGTTCTTGAAATGGATAACTTTTTGACTACTCTCAGCCCAGGGCTGCAAAGTCCCTTCTCATCTCAGGAATGTGCTGGTCCTGCAGGCTGGTTTTAAACTTGAACTTGAGCTCATCGGGTTAGAACCCTTTTAAGAGTCCTGCCTACCCGCTGTCGGGCCTCGCCTCTGGTGGTGACCAGAGGAGATACCAGGGGCCCCTCCTCCAATGCCACTGGGGAGGCCAGGTGGCAGTCCACCCAGAGCGGGGGTGCAGGTGGTCAGGCGGGCACTAAAAGTGTTTCAGACCGTGTCCCGGTGTATCTGAGTGGGAGGAGGGGAGCGCCGGGGCCTGGGTAGGGCCTGGCTTACAGCAGGCAGGCCCATCTCACTGCCAACAGGAATGGGCATAAGCTAGAGCTTTGATGACCAAAGCGACGGCAGGGCTTTAGTCGGCTTTGTGTCTCTTCAGGGAAGAATCACGAAGCGGGCCTGGAATGCGGTGGCTCCTTTAGTTTCACCCCGTCTTCCCAGCTCTCAATGGCTGGCTGGGTTTTGGGGGCCAAAGAAAAAGAGTTCAGGGAAAGAACGGAGTACTGGGGAGCAGTGGCCAGGGGGGTGAGTGGGTCCTGAGCCAACAAAGACAAGCCTCATGGGCTCCTGAGCCGTCTCCATGCCTGGCTCACCCGTGTCCAGGCCTGGGGCAGGGGCTGTGTGGGGGAGTGATTCTGAAACCTGCATTTGGCTAGAATGCAAGAGTGGCTCACAAGTTCACTATTTCCAGAAAGTTCGCCAGCACTGTGTCTATAGCTGCTTTCCCCCCAGCGTCACAATCTAGGGTAAGAATACAGTTAAAATAAGCAATCAGAGGACTGCCTTAGTGTTTGCCAAATCTAAAAAATAACATGACCTTAACAAAGGAAAAGAACAAAGATTTCCCATCGCCAGCCCTGCCCTGATGGGGACAAGCCGCTCCCGGAGGCGGAAACCTGCTGCTGATGGGGTTTGGGGTTTGGGGTGTGAGGAAGAGCAAGGACTTCTAAGCCTGCCGGAACACACTGTGCAGGGGTCTGCGATCCTGCAGGGGCTCTGCGCGCACACACAGCTGGTGAGGCTGGCTGTCCCCTTGCTCCAGGCACCTGGAGTAGCTTCATGTATACTGGGCCTAACTAGAGACCCAGTGTGGGCAACCCACAGGCATCTTCGTTAAGGTGCAGGCCCAACCACTCAGATCAGATTAGGAAGATTCCATCCACGTTGCCATTTTATTTCTTTGACTTCCTGGGAAATTAACGTTGCAATGGAAAAAATGTCGAGGAGTTCAAATCACCCTGAAAGGGCTCCTAGGGACAAGGAACATGTGATTCTCCCTCCGGAGGGCACAAATGCCTGGAGTGGATGTGCTAATGGCACCCAAGGCAGCACCCACCTCCCCCATCAAAAAGAAAGCAGTAGGGCACGCAGGGCGCGACCTGCTAATTTCACGCTCGCTGGCAGGACTTCTGTCTTGACATGTTCCTGGGACAGGAGATGCCAATTTTCATTATCTTGATGCTTCTCTAAGGCAGAATATCTGGCATCTGGGACGATGCGTGCCACGCCAAGTTAGCGTGGAAAGTTGGAAAGTTAGCGGCATCTCCAAACAGAAATAAACGCCCAACCAGGGTGGGTTCGGAGCGTGAGCTGGGCTACCCAACATTAACCTATCAAGGAGAAATGGAGGTTCGAGGGGCAGAGCTTTCCAATGTGTGGCAGGAGCTTGAAAAAAAGCCATGAAGGGGTCACAGGCCTTCAACCTTCAGATCTGGCTTATAATATTTTTGTTCCTGTTCCAAAGTCATCCCCTCGAGGCTAGGTATCATGCTCCAGTTTTCTTCTTTGAGGATTAATCTCGAAAGCCAGCACACTCAGAAAATAAACATTGACATTTGAGAAATTCCTCACCCCCTCAAAAAAAAAAAAAAAATTCCCAAAAGCTGGATCATGGGAACACTTTTCTTCCTTCTCTTAGACGTCTCCAAATAAATAGCGTGCTTATGGAAGCGCAACCTCCAGGCGAAGCCCCGGGAGCTAGGGCACTGGGTGATGGTCCCTCTGGCTGGGCTTGTCAGATCACTTTCCAAGCAAATCACTTTTCTCTGGACTTGCTTCTTCGCTCAAGAGCCCTGGAACCTCTCCTATCCTAAGAAAGCTCAGGGCTTCAGGTGAAGAGGCAGAGCAGGGATGGGGATGGAACTTGGACAAGTCTTGGCCTCAGTTTCCTTATCTGTGAAATAGGGTGATGGCTAGGTCATATTTAGTTTTCACCACTCAGGACTCTGAACCCCTTAACTTCCAGGTCAGGGGTTCTGTTTTCTAATTCCGAAACCCAGGGATATCAGACACGGCTGGCCTTGACTCCTTCCAGTACGAAAGGCACTTGGCCTCCGGGCAGGAATCTCCCTGCAGCTAATAGTAAAGCTTATATAACACAGGGCAAGGGTTGACTTGCTTGTGGTTGGACACAATACCTTAGCTATATAAACCTCCCACCCTGATAAGTCAATGCCTTGAGTATTCCGCCAGGGTAAAGTTCCTTCTAATAACGTGGGTGCTGCCAGACACAGACTAAACACGCACACTGCTCCCCAAACAGGAACTGCGGAAACAGGGAGCGGGGGAGAGGGAACACCCCCGGCCATGCCGATGGAAGGGAAGGGAGAGGCCTTAGCCAGGGAAGAGGGCAATGGACTCTGTCACTGCCCCATGGCTTTGGGCACGTCACCAGGCCCCTGGGAGGCCTCAGTGTTCTCATCCATCAAATGAGGATGAACCCAGCTGATCCCTAAGAGACTGTGGCCTCTGCCACACCATGGTTTTAGCATCTTCTTGGGCAATGATCCAAAGCTGAAGACTGGTCCAAGGGTCTGAAGAGGAGGGTGTTGGGCGAGGGGGACAGAAAGAAAAAGACGTGAAGACAAAAAAACAGAGGAAGCTGGCACGGGACCACCCCCCCCGTACAGACCAGCGCCCACAGGGCTGGCTCGGCTGAGGCAATGGGGGAGATGTACCCGGCCCATCTTCAGAGTCTGAAGAGAAACTGGCATGTTGAGTACCAGAAGTGGCAGATTTGGACGTGAACGCTGGGGGAGCTGTCCGCTGTCCCTTGATGGGCTCCCCCCACCCCCCCGGCCACAGCCAGTGATCTTTGTGGCTTTGGGCTTGCTGTGTCTGGGGGGCGGGGGAGGGGTCCTCCAGGCCTGAGTAGGGCACCCTACTGCTCCCAGGCCCAAACTGGGCTTCGGCAGCAGGGCACTCCTACTGACCTACTGCTGCTCTTGTTGGGGCTTACATTTGGTCCCCTGGCTGCACCCTGCATATGGAGAGGCTAGGCGGTGGGGGGGACGCAGTGCACTGGCAGTCTCCGGGCAGGCTGGCTCACGATGCCTCTCAGAGTTCTCTTCGATGGGTAACGAATCTGGGATTGTTAATCTAGGCACCCAGAGTCCCAGGAGACCAAGCCCCAATTCCACAAAAGAAACCCATGAGTCTGATTTTATGATGCAACAGAAACCGTTTCTGAAAAGCTCAGGTGTGTTCTTTCCAGAGAATTGTGAAATCCTCCCTACAACGCATCCCACTGCCACCCAAACATGAAGGAGAGTCTGGAAGCCCTTCAGTCTCACTCAATAGTACAAAAAGTTTCCAAGTAAAGAATTTGTACTCGGGGGTTTTAGAAAGACTCAGGGTTTCTACACTACGGGAAATAAGGCAAAGCAATTAATATACGTTGTTTAAAAGAACAAAAAAACCACTGCAGTAAGGCAGGTGAGATACTGGGTTAGCTGTTAGTTGGGCTTGTTTCTGGGAAGTTGGAGACTGGAGCTCTAGTGGGGGACAGGGCGGAGAAGGGGGGCTCTGTGTGGGCAGAGGCAGGTACCACCACCAGCTGCCAAGGCCACACTCAGGGTAGTTTGTACGGACAGTATCCTTTTTTGCAGGATTAGTAGGCACAAGGACACATGGCTGGATCCTCCCAATTTGGAACTGGCGTGGACATGGTCTCCAGGAGTCCTGCTCGAAGGCCACCCACACATGGGCACCCGAACCCCAGCCTGTCCCTGAAGAAGTAAATGAGGGGCCCAGGCAGCCTGTCTCTAAGAATGGCCGTGGGGTCTAGTACAGACACAGAGCTATGCAAAGGTCCCTGGCTCCAAGCCAGGGTGGCAGGCAGATCTCCCCACCCCCTCAGTTCTGACGGCTCCGTGTGGCCCGTGGCCTTGCATGCTGGCCACACCTTGCTCAGGCAGGTGACCCCCACTGTGCTGCCTACCATCTTGGACATGCTGGCCACAGGCTAGCATGGTTTCCAGGGCTCAGTTTTGCGCCCCCCCGGTGCGTGTGCCTAGTGTCTGCCAGGCTCCACCCAGAGGCTAACGCTTCACTGTTTTTTATCATATCTCCCTCTGTGCATCCTCTCCTGCTCCAGTCCTACCACACATGCATGCACAGACCTTTGGTCTCTATGTTAGAGGTGCTCAGTGAGGGCTGTGGCTTCAATTAGGAATGAAATCATCACTCCAAGGCAAACAGCCTGGAACGAGATCACCCTCTCTCTGTGTACCAGACTCAGGGCCACCTGATCAGATGAGGCAGGAGAGGCCTACTCAGGACTCTGTGGCAGAAAAGCTCTACTTCATGAGAACTGTGTTTATGATATTAGAACTCCCCTGGCTTAAAAACTAATGAGGTACTGTATGTTAGCTATTGAATTTAAATAAAAAAAAAAAAAGAAAAAACCTCCCCTGGCTTTGTCTTCTTTTCACTCTGTTCCCATTGTGTTTGTGTGTTTCTTGAAGATGTCTCAAATTCTTCTAGGGGACACAGTGGACACAAATAAGTCCATCATAAAAACCCATCAGCCTAGGACTGCCAAATTCATAGGCTGGAGGGGGCTTCTCCAACCCATCAGAGGATGCTTTTGAGTCTGTTCTCTTAGAAATGTCCCTTCTGAAGCAAAAGCCACAGGAACTTGTGCTCTATCCTGGAAAAGTGAATACTGCCGGGAACTCCAGAGACAGTAAAAGGAGGGAAGGAGCCCTCCCCTCACTCCCACCAATGTCCCAGACCCTTAAGACCCAGGGGCACGGACCTCAGCAGAAAACCAGAGAAGGTATTTCTGGGGCTGGAAGTCTGTGGCTTCAGGAGATTGCACAAATGCAAGAGGGGAAAATTTGGCACCCCGTCAGAAGGAGAGAACGGCCTTGTACTGTCTGACTCACAAGGGCTCAGCAGGTGACACAGGAAAGCACTGGGGTAGACAGGGGCTCGGCTCAGCTGGTGACTTCTCACCATTCCTTGGGTTATGAGCCAGCTGTCTATGGGCTCCAGGTCAGAGTCCCCACCTTTACCTCTCTTCTGGGCCGAGGACAGAAAAGTCCCAGAAAGAAAAGTCACAGCAAGACCCAGATAAAGAAAGCAACAGTATATATCATGGAAACGGAAAAGCCACTGTTCAGAGTTGATCTGTTGTCATGGAAGGAGATGTGACCCGTTGCCCCCCACCCCCCTCCAGCACGCTCCCCCTTACCTGCCTGAAAAAACAGAAGAGAAGTTTAGTAACCGAGAATCCCGACAGGGTACCACATACTCCTGCCAATTATCCCTGTACACTTGGAAAATCTCCGGGAGGTCACGGAAGGTTGCCCATGGCTGCTTCTCCTCATTAGGGCTCTCAGGTGTTGGCAAAGGTCAATTTTTTTCAAAGAACCAGCTCTTACAAAGTCATTTCCACTTTTTTTCTAACTTATTTCTGCTTTTTTCCTCCTTCTCAGTTACCTGTGTGTTCTTTTTCCAAACTCTTAACTCAAACGCTGAATTTGGGTAGATTGCCCTTTTTTAAATAACAGCATGTAAAGTTAAGACTTCGGATCTGGTTGCACCGTGGAGGTGTGGCTATACAATTTTCTCCCCTTGCCTGTGTTCTCCATTTCTCCTGTGGCCGGGTTTTCATTTCCAGGTCAGCACAGTTTAGGATATGGAACAAAAGAAGCTGAAATCCTGGCCTGAGGATGCATGTGGGTCAGTGTGTGTGGGCACGCATATATCAAGATGCAGACAGAGACAGACAGACACACACACACAGACACACACACAAGCCCCACAAACCCTGCTTCCCCCATTGAGCAGTACACATGAAAGCAATCTGCCTACCATCAGGTGGAAAACATGCTGGAGTCATCAAGATCTTTGAAAACAGGGAGATGCGCCAAGCCACACACCCCAAAGGGCAAAGGGCAGGAAGCTGGCCACCTCTCCTGCGCTCCAACCCAGGCCTGGACACTGCTAAGGGCAGAGATGTGGTAGGACACACCCTGGCGTGGATGGAGGCCGGCCTGGGAGGCACAGGGGAAGCAGACCAGGTGGGCCTGGCTGAGGGACAGAGCTGCAGGCCAGGTCAGGTGGGCCAGGAGGAGGGGATGTGCTGGGGGGCCCTCAGCCCGGCCTCCTGACGCCCTCTCTGAGTTGGGTAGGAGACATTCCGAGTAATGGGAGAAACAGAGCCATGACCACTGCATAGATTTTGGGAGTCCCGGTCCCGGGGAGGGGTGGAAAGGCAGGGTGCTGAGACCCAAGGCCGTTGGGCTGGCTCTTCTCTGCCCCCTAGTGGCCAGTGCAGAGGGCCGCACAGGCCTCCTACCAAGTTGGCTGAGCCACGACAGAATAACTGCCTTCCCCAAGGCAAGCCTTCTCACGGAAACTGCTGCTGGCCTGGGCCCATTTGGACATGGGCAGCAGGAGGCCCGAACTTGTGTTCTGGAAGCAAACCTCCCTGTCCAGGGGGCAGATGAGCACTGCTCCTTTCTAACCCAGCTGGGGGACCCTAAAAGGAGGTCCCACTGTTCAGGGCCATTATCCCCATAACCCTCCCCCTCCCTGTCCCTGCAAACAGACACTCATTCACACACTGCCACATACATTCCTTAGGTGAAAAGGGGGACGATCCCATGAGAAGCATTAAGACACAAATCCTTTCCCCGGCAGTGACCTGAAACCTCACAGAATCCACAGCTGCAATCTGGGGCTCTAACAAGCACCACCTTCCACTTCAAAGCACCTCTGCCTTTAGCTCTGCCCCTTCCAGAACACCCTCCTGGCCTCCACCCGCTGTTCCTCCCACCCCTCCAGCCCCAGACCCCCAGACAAATCCTGGCCCTCCGCTGCCTGCTAGTGGGTTGGTACTGCCTGGCAAGGCCGACGGCAGATGATAGCCCAGATGTGGCTCAGATGAGCTTTTCCCTTCCTTGTGTGGATCAGTGTTTTGTCAGAGTCCTGGCCACCCCAAGGCAGTGGACCATCTGAGGAGAGCCCCTATCTGGCTGTAGGAGACCTGTGCCCTGAGAGCTCGGGGCCACCAAGGTCGGAAGGAGAAGGGGCTCTGGGGCCGGACCTCCCAGAGCAGGGATCCCCGCTTGCTCTCTGCTCACTGGGTGCCCAGAGCATGCCGCCACCTCTTGGGGCCTGTTGGCTCTTGGGTTCACGGCAGGCTGACTGGGCATCACCCGCGGGGTGGGGTGAGGACTCAATGAGGCGATCAAGTGCTCTCATGCCGGTCTCCCCCAGCGGGCCCTGCCCTCCACGCACCCTGGCGTCTGCTGGCCACCCGGCCCGACTTCCCCTCCAGAGGACCCCAGGCAGAAAAACAAGCTGAAAGACCTACCACTTCAGAGCTCTGTTTCCGGCTGTCTGGGGCAGAAGCCAGTCCTCCGACAGCCTGGGGGTCCTCGTAGGCTACCCTGGAGACAAGCAGTACAGTCAGTCAGTTCCCGGCAATGGTCCCAGGGGATGGGGTGGTGACCTCTAATCACTTTCTAGCCCTCTCACCTCCCTCATGCGTACTTGGAGAAACGTTCCCTGCAGCCCTGGCATCGAAGGGCTCATGCATTGTCTGTAGCTAAAGCCAGGAGGCCAGGGTTCCAGCACAGGCTCAGCCCCTCCTTTCCTCTGGGGTCTGGGACACTGTACCCCTCAACGTCCCGCTCAAGTAACAATACCAGGGTAACTCCAAAGCCCACTGACAGGAGATCAAAAGCACCCTGAAACTCCAGGCAACATTAATTCTTCTTTTAAAAGCGGCAGCCGCAGTGGCCTTTGACAAGGAAGGTGGTGACAGCTCATGAAGCGTGAACGGGGCCTTGGGTCGGGTTTCTGGTCAACCTGTTGATGCCTGAGCATGGGAACCCGGAAAGCCAAATGCCTCAAGATGCCGGGCCCCAGGGAAAGGCAGGACAGAGTTCTTCGCCTGCCTTAAGGATGAACAAGAAGCTCAAAGCCTGTTCCTGTGCCTCCCTGAGATGCAAGGGGTGGTCTATTTTGGGATCAACGTCCCCAATTTCACATGGCTTCTCCTGGCAGGAGCTGCTGTCAGGGAAGCCTCCGCCCACACCCTTGCGCAAGAAAACCATACTGATAAGAGCTACTTCATGCCCTGCCTGGCTGCCCCCCAGCTCCCAGCTCTTCTTTAGCAGCAGCACGGGAAGCACTCTCTTGTGACTCATATAGGAGAAATCCAACCACAATCAACCCCAAGGCGGGGAGGTGGGGGTTGGAGGGGGGGAGGTTGGTGTTCATTCAAAATCTGTGTCTACTGCCAAGTCCTCACAGACATATTTCAATGTTCTTGGCAGCCCTGGACTTGGTAAACAAAAGGCGTCTTTGTGTTGGCCTGTGACCAGGCCGGGATCAATCCTCTCCCAATGTCTTCCGAAAGCCACTGAAATGGTCCCCACATACGTCTTGCGTTGTTCGGCCAAGGAGTTCCCTCTTGTCTGGGCAAACATGTCAAAGCCATCACGCGGATTACACTGCTGGAGTGAACTGAGGGTACCACTGACGCTCTCTGTCCCCAAGTCTGTGGCAACAAAACAAATGAGGGGAGGATGAGAATAAAATGTGGCCCGTGGACTTCAGGAAGGGTCCCAAAGTTCAGAAGCCCATGGGCAGGTTAGGGTTCTATGGGGGGAGGTTGGGCAGCTCTCTTCGGCACCCCCGGCCCACCACGTACAGGAGGAAGTCACACTGGGGCCTAGCTGGGGGACAGAACAGCCACAGACCCCCCACCCCCGAAGCTGCTCAAGGTGGGGAAGAATCAGTATGAACGAGAGGGAGATTGCTGGCAGCGAGACGGGGCTTGGGGCCAGTGCCTCTGCAGATTTCCCACAATGCTCTGATCAGTACACTCCTCACTGACTCAGTCACACATCTAAGGGCCTGGGTCATGTATTTCCTTGATAAACATTTCGCAGGCACCCACCACGTTCAAAGCTAGATCATGAGCGGACCAAACTGAATCTGACGCGGTCCTTGGCCTTAAGGAGTGCATGAAGTAGGTGGGAGACAGATACCACCAGTACCTAGCTTGAGATAATTGGAAGAGATTCAAAACTGACCCAAGAATAGGGCTTAAAGGCCCAGGGGGAATCTGCTGCGGGCAGAAGGGGGAGAGGCAGGTACCAAGGCACAGAGCCTGGGAAGTCCAGGGTGTGTGAAGTGAACAACGCTTGTGGAGACGCTGATGAACAAAAAGGCTGGAAAGGCATGTGGGAGGTGGCTGGGGTGTGAAAAGCCTCAAAGGCCAGGTAAAGGAGCCGAGGAGAAGGACACTAGACCTTTTTTTTTTTAAAGATTTTTAAAATGTATTTGAGAGAGAAAGAGAACACGAGCAGAGCGGAGGGGCAGAGGGAGAGGGAGAAGGAGGCTTTCCGCGGAGCAGGGAGCCCAACGTGGGGCTCAATCCCAGGACCCTGGGATCATGACCTGAGCCGAAGACAGACGCTAACTGACTGAGCCACCTGGGCACCCCTAGACTTTTTTTTTTTTGAGATTTATTTATTTATTGACAGAGAGCACGTGCAGAGGTTGGGGGGAGGAGCAGAGGGAGAAGAAGAGAGAGAATCTTAAGCAGCCTCCATGCCCAGCACAGAGTCTGACACAGGGCTCAATCTTAGGACTCTGAGACCATGACATGAGCCGAAATCAAAAGCCGGATGCTTACCCGCCTGGACCACCCAGGTGCCCCAACACTAGACCTTCATTTAAGAAGGCAGGCAGCAGAATTCAATTTGACTTTTGGATATTAAATCTGGTGGCCATAAGCTGCATGGATTGGAAGGCAGAGAAATCTGTTCCAAAAGAGAAACAGTGGCCACAGATTCATGGGCCGATTTCAACTGTAATGGAATGAAGGTATAAAGATAAATGTTAAGAGGAAAAAAAAAAAAAGGAAAATGGAAAAGCAAGGTAGAAAGAATTTTGTCAGAGCCGTGCATTATTATTTCAATACTGTAATTTTATCTGTTACAAATTGGTGTACCATCTAGAATCATATACACACTTGCAAACGGAAAAGTGGGAAAGTGGTGAGTTTCTTTTGTTTTAGGCTTCAGACAGTGCAGCACTTTAGGCTGATGTTAGTTCAAGGAAAGGAAATCCACCTGTGCCATCACCTCCTGATTCCAAGCCCGTGGCAGACATTACCAATCAACCAGACTCATCTCCCAAGCAGCATCCTTCTTAGACCTGTGTCCCAGGCAGCCAATGAGCTGAAACCTATTTGCCATCCTTGGCCTAGTTTATATTGAGAAGACCATCACTTGGACCACAGAGACTATTCCAGATAAAAACACAGCAGCTACCTTTCTTTAAAAGCAAACAACTTCCAGTTCCTTGGAACTCCCCCCAACCCCTTCTTTCCAACACACGTTTAAACTTTTAAGTTTAGGGACAGAAGTCATCAACTAAAGGTGGTACAATTGGCCAGGTCTCAGGAATACGCTGCTTTTCCATGGATGCCTCTAAAGGCTCTCTTTGGGCCTTCCAACCAAGAGAGAGAAAGGGGCCCTCAGCCCAGACTCACAACCAGGAAGTGGCCTGAAAAGAAGGCCCTTGACACAAACCTGTGAGACACTTACCTAAGCCTGCAAGTTGAGAGGAGAGAGAAGATGGGGGTGCCGTGTTCCCCACCATTGGGCTCACCACAGCTGGAGACCCCGGGCCCAGGTCTATTAAGTTGTCCTCGGTCACTTCGTTCAGTACCTGCCAGCAGAGAAGACAGCAGTGAGCCCCAGAGCGCCCGCCTTGGGCTCCTAGGTAAGAGCCAGCAGGCCCGGTGCAGGGTACCCAAGAAAAAGCATCAATGCTGCACCAATCCAGGAACAAGGCAGTTTTCCTCCCCAGGACTTTGGTGGTCCACGGTGGCCTCAGCCCATTGGCTCCTCCCCCTGCCCCCAAAGGAGGCAGGGCTGAAGCAGTCAACCAGGACAGTCGCTGTCCCTGGAACTGTAACTTGGGGCTTGCTTGCCATGCTCCCACCGGGAATGTGTCTGCTAGTTCTTCTGCAGTATCCCATCAGCCAGAGCTTGCTCCTTCATTACCCCCCATTTTTTTTTTTTTTTGAAGAAAACGCTACCCCCAACGTGGGGCTTGAACTCACGACCCCGAGATCAAGAGTCGCACGCTCTACAGACTGAGCCAGCCAGGTGCCCCTCGTTACCCATATGTTTAGGCCCCAGTTAGAAAAACCAGAGGTGAGACCTAACAGAGGTAGGTCTCCCAGCATCCGGAGAGGAGAGAATTCTGAAGGAATACTTACTCCATTACTGGCATTTTGCACCGATCGGCCTGACCTGTACCGTTCAAACCTAACAGGGGAAGGGAAAGCAGAGTGAGGAGGGACGACGCGGTATAGTGATGCTCACTGGTCCCGTGAAGAGCTCCTGGGGACCAAGGGCCCTGTGAGGCCAGTGGACACCGAGACTCCAGGAAAAGGAAACCAATCGGGGCCATTTGGGGGACATGGGGAGTGGGTCCCCCTCTACACCCCAACTTTACCGTGCCTTCCTCTGGAGGATCAGCCTCCAGGCTCACCCACGAGCACATGGAAGGGCGGGGAGGAAGGTGTTGGTTGGCACATCCCATCATAAGGAGGTCATTATAAGCATTCCCAGCTGTCCCCTCATGCTCTGGGCCCAGAGTGCTCCTTTTGCTCCTTGGGGGGTAGGGGCTGGGCCAACCACTTGACCTTGGGAGTGGCTCAGATACACATCTCCAAAGCCACGCAAGAAGTGCAGCCCCCTCCCTATTTCATAGAGCTGCGCTAGGCATGATTAGCCTGTCACTAAAATGCCCTCAGCTCAATGTGCTGGAGGAGAGGGCCTGGGGCACACACAGAGGAGGAAGACAGGCACAGGCAAGGCTTGGCCTGGCCCAAAGGCTCCCCAGTAGCTGCGGATGGGACCTGGCTAGGAGCAACCACAGACAGCCTCTGCTGTCTCATACCCACCAGGTGGGGAATACAAGAGCAATTGTGCGGCACCTGTGTGGGCTGCCCTTGCATTTAAAAGTTCCAAAATGCCGTGGGCAAAGAGGTAGCTAAGAGACCTTCTGCAGCTAGAGGCTGGAGAAACCAGCCTTTACTGAGATCTGCTCAGCTCAGCACCTGGTAAGTAGGGATCCCCAGGAGGGACAATCCGGTTAGGCGATGTGTGTCCGCTGTGGTTTCAAGAGAGGCTTGTGTGTTTTTATGAACCATGGCCCATAAGGAGAAGGAAAATGTTAACACATCTGAGAAGTTTCTAATCCTGGAGTACCTTTCTCACACCATCTCGGAGGAACAATTAGTCTTATCAACAGCACTCAAGCCAGAATGGCACCTCAGGGCTTTGTCTCTGAATTTGTGGTCAGGCCGGGTGTGGCAGACTCAGGGGAAAATGCTCACACTGGCCCGTCTTCCTATCCCAGGAGGGGCTGAAACGGGTTTAAGGTGAAAAGGCCAAGCCCATTTAAAGTAGAGAAAGTGGAACCACAAGGCAAAACCAAGGAGTCTGGAGCTGGGAGTCGAGGGACCCCAGATCTGCTTCTAATCTCCAAAGGACACACGGGGCCCCCGGATGGCCCCACATTCTTACTGCAGAGGTTTCTTTGTTGGATAGACCTGGGACCACCCATCCCTGCTGAGACAAGGCTCGGGGTCGTGATACCCATGGCAAAATCTCCCTCTAAGCCCCCCATCACACTGACCCTAAATGATGCCAGATCATCACACTGTGAGTCAGCGCAGGGACCAGGGCCCCAAATCTCCGAGGGCGGAGGGCCTCAGACTTGGGAGAAGGTTGGCCTGGTCAAGGCGCTTTCTGGTGCCTTTGCTGGGAGAAGCCTGAGCCACACACGCCCGAGTGATGCTCTGGGAGCCGTGCCTGCCATTACCTCCTATTGACAGCTCCTTCCCAGGGGAGGCTTTGGAAAAGGAAAAGAATTTTCAAGCTGGTTACCTCAAATCCAAAAATGATTTGGCTGCAGAAAGAACTCAAATGAACGTGTGTGTGTGTGTGTGTGTGTGTGTGTGTGGTGTTTCCCTAAACAGCAGCGGCATCCAGCACTTACACCCTGCCTTCTTTGGAATACTCTAGACACACTGACATTTGCAAAGTGAGGGAAAAATCTCTTTTTCTTCTTTCTTTAAAGATGGCAAAGAGGAAATCTTTTTTCCTTAGTAGAGATTTTTTTCCCCCCTTTAATCCTTTTCAAACTCAAAGATCTTCAAAGGAGCAGGTGCAAGCTCCCGGGCCCCAAGGCCCCCCGCCCTCCCCTCATGGGCCCCAGGGGAGGAATAGTGGGGAAGGCAGGGGAGCCTGAGGCTTGCAAAGGGCAGAGCCTAATTCTGCCCGTCATTTTCCTGCTGCTCGGTTCCCAGGAGAACAAGAAGCATTTTCCCTGTCAGCCGGGAACAAATTAGCATCTCTGATGAGCATTTTCCAACCCTACACTCCCTCTCCCTCTCCGCATTGTTTGGGAGAAAAATCCCTCCGTTGGCAACAGTCTCAGGGAGGGACGACAAGGGACCCCGGCCCCACCTCTCGTAGCGGAGGAAGACGTTGTTGAGGTCATCGTTGACGTGAAGCAGCTCCTCGGTGACCTCCTCGTTGGACACGCGGGAGATGAGCTCCACGATGCGCTGTTGCATGGCCCGGCAGGTCCTGTTCAGCTCCTAGGGAACACACACACCTCTGGCTAGCCTGCTGGGGACGATGCGTGTCCCATTCTACCTCCTCGGGCAAAATGTGAGCCAATTCTTAAAAGTCACCAAAGGAGCGCATGCTTGTCGGAGAAAGCCGGCCGCGGGTGGGATGCAAAGTGGAGGGCCCCTCTCTCACTGCCTCCTGCTACCCCAAAGGAAGGAAGCTCTTTTTCAATGGACGGACAAGGGTCCATAGCTCTGTACTCTTGTATGTACATCGGCACGCGTTTGTACAAAGCGTCCTTTACGTCTAAGAATATGATCCTTTGCAGCTGGCTTTTTCTCTTCAACAAAATACGCTCGACAACCTCTCCCCATCGCTTTCATATGGCCGGCCCCACCTGTGTGTGTGTGTATCATGAAGCATCTCCCCGTGCTTCCACTGCCTTAAGGGCCTCTTTCTGGCCAACCCAAACAATGCGGCAAGGACCATTCGTACACACACAGGCTCGTACATTTGTGCCAGCACTTCCATAGGACAAGCTTCTAGAAGTGGAATTTCTGGGTGAAAGGGTATACAGTCACTTAGAACACGGACTGGCAATTGTAGAAGACCCTCCAAAAAGATGAGACCAGGTCATTTACGCTCCCAGCAACAGCAAGAGTGTATTTTATGACTGTATCAGGTACATTTTGGTGGCATGTGTGATATCTTGCTGAGGTCTGAGCAGCTCAGCAAGCTCTGACATGTCTTCCAGGCTGGCCAAAGAGGACTCCAGTGAACCCCCAGTCACCACTGGAGCCTGCTCTACCCTTGGAAGGACTGTCCCCCTGAAGACAGACCCTTACCACTTTCTGGCCTGGCTTCCACAGGCTTTCCCTGCTCTAGATAGCAGCCTGAACTGTGCTCTCGTTGAAGCTTGCCTGTGAAGCTCCCTCAACCACCTGCCAAACTGACTACAGGTACATTCTATGGAAAAAAGCTCCAAGTCCCAATGGGGGTGAAGCAGAGAGGAGAAGCTGTCCCCACCCCCCCTGGACACCAGAGGCAGCCGATGATCCACTGGATGAAGGGGATGAGGGATGGAGCAGAGGTCCTTCCTTCCTTCTCACAGCTCAGCCTCAAAACCACCTCCTTGAGAAATGTTTCTGATGGATGTAACTGCTCTGGACACTGCACACGTACGTGATCTCTGTTCAGCTCCGTATTCTGTCTCATAATCTGGCCAGCTTGGCTAGAACTAGGTTTCCTCTCCCACTAGACCATAAACTCCATGAGGGAGATGCCATCATTTCTTCCCCCAGGGATGACCTTGAACCCTACACTGAGCCACACATGGTGAAAAGGCCCACTAATCATCTGCTGAGTCGAACACAGACGTGGCCAAACACAAAGCAGGGAATCCCAGGGCTCAGCAGTGCCCTGCAACACTATGCTCAGCACACAGGGGCATTACTGCTGGGCCCCTCATCTGCCTCCTCTCTCTATACCGAAGCTCCTTGAGGGCAGGGCTGGCATCTCTTGGCCCCATTTCTCCAGCATCCATGACCAACACACAGGAGCTACTCCCTAAATGCTTTGGAAAGAATTAATTAATGAAGGCAAGTTGCATTCCTTCCATCCACACCTAGTCCAAGGTCTCTAAATAGTGTTCCCTTACACACTCGTGTGCACACACACACACACCCTTCACCACTGGACGACAGTGAGTGTCCTGGGCCTGATCCTGCGGGTCAGACCGAAGTATGGACCTCGACAGACCTGCCAATCACAGAATAAGTAGATCATGACCAGCCGGCCACCAGGTCTGGAAACTGCTTCTGCCGTCACCCCTCCCCTGGCTGCTCGGCCTGTGGGGGGCTCCTTCCCCAACAGCAGGGGCAGCTGAGGAAAGAAGCCCAACCCACACGGGTCATCCCACAATCACCCCACTATAGCTGTAGTTGTCAAGACAGAAGGTTTCTAGATTTAGGCAGCTGGGTACAAAATAGTCTGGTGTTCACCAGAAGAAAAAAAAAAAGCTTCACTGGAGAGCCTCTGGATTGCTGGGCCCTGTCTTGCTGCTTATGGAAACACTGCCCTTGTCTTCATTCTACCCTGTTGCTGGCCCTCTGTAAAACCAGAATGCTGCTGTCAGTCTCTCTTGGTCTAGGGCCAGCAAGCCCAGCATCTGGACCTTCCAGTTTTTTCTATGAAGACAGGCCCACTATTGTTCTCCTAAGACTCCCATTCTAGGTTTGGGAGAAGGCAGAGTGATCCTGGAACTAAGGGGCTGTCAGCAAATCACTGGGGATTCACAACTGCTCTCTCCCAACCTCTGACCTGGTGCTTCAGGAACCAGCTGCGCGCGGGGAGTAGCATTCCCACCAGCAGGTGATGCAGAGGCGCGGAGGTCAGAAGCAAGCTAAGGCTGGAGGAGGAAGGATGGGGACACCTCGACTCTATGGAGCTCTGATCCCTTGGTCCGTGCAGACCACCTGCTCCCCATCACCGTCCTCGCTCGGGATCTACACCAGCTTAGCCTTCTTGCTGGCCCTCTCTCCACTCAGAGAATGGGCAATTCTTCACCTAGAATCGAATTTTCCCTCGCCAGGACTCGTCCCAGACCCCAGTGACCCAGCAGTAAGCATTTTTAAACATACACGCATGTGTTAGAATAACAAGAGGCAAATACTGAAAATTAATCATATCCAGGAAAGAGTGAAATGCCACGAAATGTCCACTCTCCACCACTGTGAACGGCTCCTATCCCCTGGCCGGCCACAAGAGGGGCATTCGGGAAGCGGCCTGGGACTTGGAGCCTGGCGAGAACTCAGTGATGGGTTGCCACAATCCCAGCCATGGGTGCTGGTACACACCCACAGGTCAAATCCAGTCACCGCTGGGACAGTCACAGTACACAGGAAAGCCAAGGACCCAGTGGAAACCCCAATTACAGAAACAAAGTGCGCTCACGAGCGAGGGCTAAGATGAAAACCGAAAAACAAAAGCCCACACAAAGGAACTTCTGAAAAAAGCAATCACATTAGATCACGGGAAGGATTCCAACAGCCAGGACTGAAGTCAACAACGTAAATAATCATATTTACGATACATCGTTAGACCGCAGGGAGCACCTGCTTAGGGCCCATAAGGGAGCATGGATTCAGATTCACTTTAAAAGACCAGCCCCCATTAACCAAAAGAAAAAAGACATTTGGCCATTCTTGGGCAGCAGATCTTGCCTAGCGCTTTGGAAGACAGGCTGGAGACCAGCCAAAGCTCGTGGGGACGGAAAAGAAAGACAGAGCCTGGGGACACAGGCAGCAGGGTGGCGGGAAGAGGCGCAGTGCCTGGATCCCTTCCTGGATGTGTATGTGCCTTGTATAGAGGAGACCAGCACTCAAGGTGTCCGCAAAAAATCTCTGATGAGCAAAAGGATCTTGAGCCCCAGCTACAGGCCCACTCCCTCCAGCAAAGGCAGCCCCCACTCCCACCCCCAGGCAGGCCCAGGACAGGGAAGAGGTCAGTGATTTCCTATCCTAACTGCAGGCCAATTCCAAACAGAAAGAGGTCCTAGGCCACCCTGGCAGAAGCTGGCGGCATCACCTCCCGGAGCCATGGGCCTTCTCCAAACACACTTCAGACTTTCTAGAATAGCAGACGGCCCTCAGGCACTAGCCCTTACTGCTCAGGGGCCCCTGAGAAGGCAGCCCTCTGCCTGCCATGTTCCTCCCTCCTTTTCTATCAAACAAATTCCTACTCATCCTTCAAGGCCCCAGAATGTTTCCCCACCCCAACGCTTAGTCACAAAATTTTCAAATGTAGAGAAAAGATTTTAAAGTGTTAGAGTAGACCCCATATACCCAACCCCTAGATTCTACCTGCCATTAACATTTTATAATTCCATCTTACCATTTGTCTACCCAGCTACCCATCTCCCTATCCACCCAGAATGTTTCCTGGGGATTCCCCCCAACCCCTACCTCCTCAAGACTGGACATACCTCTGCTCGGCGCTGCTGCCCCATGTGGTAACAGGTTCTCCAGCAGTGCCTCTGGCTTGTGTGTATGTCCAATAAATGAGCAAGAGCCCTTACCCCCACCCCAATCAGTGGAAGCCTGGGAAGAAAGAGCAGGCCTCAAGGATGGTCCACCAGAATCAAAGCAGAACCAAACCAGATCGTTCAGAAGACTGCAGGGAGTGTCTCAGAAACATGGCTCCAAACGTCCAAAGCACCCGAACCACTAGACAGAAAAGGGCAGGGCTGGATTCAGTCTCCCCCAATGGATCCCAGGGCCTCCTGGGTGCTGGGAACCAAGTGGCAGGTAGCAAGCAGCCATGCCCAGGTCCGCTCTCCAGGCCTCTAGCACCCTCTGGGTGGGCCTGTTTCTCCCCGGGTAGGAAAGAGGGGTCGGAGAAGTGGTAAAGCTCTGCAGAGGGCCACTGAGGGGCCTCCATGGCATGGGGTTTGGGACATCCCACCCCATGGCTCTGTTTTTATCTCTTTGAAACATTACAGTTCTCTGTGGAATTTTATTTGTGGAGAAAAGGGTCCCCCTACTTTACAGAAATACAGAAATGTTTGGAAAGTGCTAGATGATTTCTGAGACCTCTGCTAGCTCTAACATTATAACTTCAGCTTGCAGGAAGAATGAGACCCAAGGGCACACAGTGTGGAGATCCCACGGATTGTAAGCCCCAGAACATCCGCCTTGCCCTTTGTACTTGCCGCCTCGTTCCCCACAGCCTTCAGCTGGGGCGCTGGGAGAGACAGACCCCGACCCCATGGACAGAGCCTCGAATGCTCTGATCCGACAGGGGCACCCAGGGGCCTTTCAAAGAGCTTTGCCCAAACTGGCCCAAAGAATCCAGCCTGGAACTTCCAAATCAAGGATGTCCTGGGGTCTCTGCAGAAAGTTTTGCTATCTCCTTCCTTCAAGCTTTTAAGTTACCATTTTCTTCTTCATCTTCTCCTTTTTGTAAGATTTTATTTTAAATAATCTCTACACCCAACATGGGGCTTGAACTTACAACCCCAAGATCAAGAGTCACACACTCCATCGAATGAGCCACCTGCCCCTATGTCATCATCTTAAAAAAAAAAAATTTAAACAGAAAAAAGACAAAGGGATCGAAGGGGAGAGGAGAAGCAGCGTGTTGAGATTTCTGCCACCAACACCAGCGGGCTGCCTGCAAGACCTCCGTGGGGTCACCAGCAGCCAGACCCATGGCAGGTGCAGTTGGGAGACCTTCCACTGCCTACGTCCCCCTCTAAAGCAGCCCCACAGAGTGACTTTCTTCTGATCCTAAGTCACAAGAGCATGCAGTTTGCCCCGGTCACCCTTCCCACCATGCAACAGCCAGGACAGGCATGTCCTACATGTGGAAGATTTTGGCTTCGGCCTCCTCCTATGTCCGGTTCTCAACAGAGGGGGAGAACAGCTGGTCAGTGTTCTTTGTGCAAAAGCCCTCCATCTATCAGAACATATTAAAATAGCCTCTTTCTGTCTAATTAATCCCAATGCCTTTATCTTTTCTTCAAGGGACATTCTCATCCCCACCTCGCAAAACAGTCTTTTAATCATCTTTATGGGTTTCCTCTGGACCTTCTCCAAGTTCTAAGGAACACAGAATAAGGTCCTGAAGATCCGCTTTCTACAGCAGCAAAGGGGGGGGGGCGCGGGGAGAAGAAGAAGAAACTCTTTGTTGAAGAGAAGGGGGAAAAATGAAGCTAAACGTGGAGAATAAACTAGATCTCTAGAGAAAATGGTCCTGGACATCCCGGTTTTTGTTGAAACGAGATGCAAGCAGCAAGAGGGGATATACCATCTGCTACTTGAAGAAACAATGTGGAAGAGAGCTTCTTTTATTACCTGATGGATGGCCATGCAGGAATGCCCAATTTGGGCATCACTGGATTAATTAAAAGTTATTATTATTTGAAGACAAAGCTCAAGAGGCTAATTTGGGAGAGACGGAGAGTACCGGATGACAGCCTCAGGATCTTTAAAGATTTCCAAAACCAGACTCCCAGGCTGCAGCTAAGGACATGAACTTCAGCAGACAGCGACGCAGTCTCAAATTTCAGGCCTGAACCCAAGTGCCTACACACAGGGTAGGGAAGATACAGCTTACTAGCTCCATGAGAGAGATGGAAGGTTTTAGGTTGATGGAAGCTCTCAATTTTATAGGCTCCTGCTAAGAACTGCCAGCTCATCTACAAGGTGGGCTGCCAACAGGCACATCTGTACCGCACAGACCAGGCCGTGGCAGGGCTCATGGCAGTCTTAAAATATTTAAGCATTGTGAAAGAGGACTTTGTTTTGTTCTGTGGTTGAAGCAGACAGACCAGGGTAGCAGTTATAAGGAGACAGACTTTAGCCTGCCGTATAGAAGGATGTACTAACACTAATCACAGGAGCTCTGACTTGTGATGAGTTGCCTATGCCTGGCACTGTGCCTGCCACCTCAAATGGACAACTTTTTTAAAGATTTTATTTATTTGAGAAGGGGGGGGAGAGCAAGAGCAGGGGGAGGGGGAGAGGGAGAGAGGGAATTTCAAGCAGACTCCAAGCTGAGCGTGGAGGCCCAATGCGGGGCTCGATCTCATGAACCTGTGTCGAAATCAAGAGCTGGATGCTAGGGACACCTGCGTAGCTCAGTTGGTTAGGCAGCTGCCTTTTGGCTCAGGTCATGATCTCAGTGTCCTGGGATCGAGCCCCATGTCAGGCTCCCTGCTCAGCAGGGAGTCTGCTTCCCCCTCTCCTCTCTCTGTGCTCTCTTACTCTGGGTCTCTCAAGTAAATAAATAAAATCTTAAAAAAAAAAAGAAAAGAGATGGACACTTAACTGACTGGACCATGCAGGCAACCCCTCAAATGGACGATTTCTACCCTTCCAAGATGAGCGTGATCACTCCAGGCTCTACCCAGTATCATCCAGCCTGTCAGTGGTTGGGACATGAACCCAGTGGTTCTTTCTGCCCTCCTGTGGTGCTTCCCAAAGTCTGACCAGGACATGCATTTGGAAACACAAGTGTTTCCGTGGGCTCCCACAAACAGCCTGTCTCATCAAGAAAATGCTAAGAAACATGAGGTGGGCACTAATCTGAGCACATGGGTGGAGCTGGACTAGTTGCCCAGAAGGTCTGTCCCAGCTCAGGGAGTGGAGGGTTCCGCCCCCGCACAGCGTTCCCTCTGGGCACCCTGCCTCAGTTTTCCTCAGGGTCTCCAGCTAAGCTGCCGGCACAGCATAAGGAGTGGCCTCAGTCTCCCTTCAGGGAGACAGGAAGCAATTGGGGACACTACCGCCCATGACTGCGGTCCGCCACACCGGTGCATCCCGGGGCTGACACCTCCAATTTCCTCTCTTTGCATTTCCTCCACCTCCTACCCAGCAATTTACACTCGAGTCAGGAGCAGCGTCTGTCAGCGTGAACATTTGGGTTGGTGACAAATGGGTTTATTTCCACAGCCCCGGCCAGCACTGTGAGCTCCGGACAGCTTCTACCCTGAGCAATCTGGCTGCCCTCCAGCTCAACTGAGGGTCCTCAGGGCACATTCTGATCCCATCACTTTCCAAGCAGCTGGTGTCATTTTCCCATGTGGAAGTCTCACTGTTTGGGGTGGCCCCAGCCCTTGGGAGGCCCTGCCCAGCCGGCCTCCGACTGCCCAGGGAAGAAGAAGAGGGGAGATGTCAGGGATGACTGAGGAGCGAGGCCAGGAGCCAGGAGAGCGTGGCTGTTCACACAGAGCTGCCTGACTCCTGAATCTCCCGTGCTGAAAGGCCAGCCTCCCACTGGCACCCAGAACCATTCTTTCTGTTTGATTTATAAGATAGCAGGGAGGGCTGGTAGGCTTGGAGTTGGAACAAAACAGAGGGAAGGAAAACGTCATGGGAAGCAACCTATTTTTGAAAACTGTGAGCTGACGCCAGGAGATTAGGTTCTGTTTGTCTTGGCTGATGGGCTTGTTTAAACACACACACACACACGCACACGCACACGCAAGCGCACACACGCACACGCACAGAGTATGCTTGCTGTCTGGGTCTGCTCTGGCTGTCTGGAAGCATGTTGGCTTTGTTCGGCCCACCCCCTGCTGCCAGGAGCTCAATTCTGTCCACTGCAAACCCCCTGTCAGCAGGAATTCTGATGCTGACACAGCACAAAGCTGCCTCAAGAGGCCCTCGCAGTTTCTGGACGGTTTCTGGACTGATCTCAGATTCCTCTGTAGCAGCTAATGCCTGGAAGAACTCCCCCTACAGGCTGGGAATGGAGGTCAATGGTGCATTAACGGGACACTGGGTCCCCTAGCATGTGGCACGTGGACAGCTGGCCCCTGATGAACGAAAGCAAACCTAGCAGGCTGCAGGTGTCAGAAGCGAGGTCTGGGAGAGGCCACTCGGGGCTCCTCGTTAGGGCTGGCTGAGGGTACTCGGCTCGGCTTTAAGAGCAACCTGATGTCATGGCTTCATGGAGATGACCTGTTTCTGGTCGGCCTCCCTGCACCAGGCTGGGCGCTCCTCCAGAGCAGAGACCACACTCCACGCACCTCTGCTTTGCTCTGCGTCCGGCCCAGAGCAGGTGTCCACCCACCCTCACCTGCTTGGGAGCTGACGGCTTCATGGGAGGAACAGGGCACGACAAGAAGAGGCCCAGGAGCAGGCAGGGTCACTTTGGCTCGGGGCACTGCGGACTGGTGGGGCCACCTGAGCCGGGCCTTCAGAGGCTGCGAGTGTGTGCCAACAGCGGGGTGGGAGGGATGGCACTCGGGGGGGGGGGGGCAAGACAGACAAGAAGATCTGGCACTTGCAGCTTAGAGCATCCTTTCTCCCCAACTCCAGAAGGTCACTGCTTCTGAGGGTAGCACAGATGCCACTTGGTACAAATGCCAGAGTCGTCTGAGATGGGTGTGGCGGAGAGCCGGCTGCTGGCTCTGGCTGGCCAGGATCCCTGATGCTAGTCTGAGGGCGGCCCTGGGCGCCAGCCCTGCTCCCGGACCCCTTTCCGCCGTGCCCCCCGATCTGCAGGGCGGCCAAGGGGGCGGGGAGGCCAGTTAGCAACAGATGCTCACAAACCATCAGGTGGCCAACCCCAGCCTGGAATCCTCAGTGTTCAGGAAAATAAAGGAAGCTTCTACCTCATCTCAGTCTCAGGACTGGCTCAGGGGGCAAAGTGTGGCTAAAAGGGCTCCTGCGTGCGGGGAAGGCTGAAGAGGGCCTGTCACAAGTGTTCGTGACATAATGTTGAGGGAGCAAAGTGACACACAACATTGTACACACAATAGGATCTCAATTACATCTGAAATGAAAACACACACGGAAAAAAAATGAGAAAGAAAAAGCATCAGAACATTGACAGTGGTTATTTGTGGGTGCTGGAATCAAAGAAAATGAGTATTTTCTTCTTTATACTTCCTTTTTTCTTTTGATGGGCATGTGTTCTGTAATCGGCATTTTATAATCAGTGATAAAGAAGTCACGAAGGAAAATAAAAGAGAGAGCCTGGTACTGGCTTCTGACCGGTCCCAGGAAGCATGAGGCTGAGGGAAACCCTACAGGGACTCAGTCCCTTCCCACAACAGTCCCCCTGGGCCCCGCTCCTGCCTCACTGCTGGGTGCCCAGGTCCAGAGCTTCCACAAGATGAGGCCCTCCCTGCTCTCACCTGCAGCAATTCCAGATCGGACGAATCCTCCTGCCCGGGGACCATTTCTGTTAGCATCTCCGACATGACTTTTGTGTTGCCTCGAACAACGTCCAGTTCACTCCGAAGCCTGGCAATCTGTTGGGCCAGGGGGATGGGAGTAGGGAGGAAAGCAGGAAGCAGAGGTCAGTCAAGCTGCACCTCTCTGGTGACAGTCCCCTTCACCGTGACATCTAGGTCACACCTCTGAATGTGCTCGGCATTCAAAGGCTTATCATCTCACTCTGGTCTGTATGTGAGGGTGAGGGAGAGACCTGAATGGGGCAGCGAGGCCACCCCACAAGGGCCCTGATTACCGACAGTTTGTCATGGGTGACTCTGGCGGAAAGAGCACTGCGTCTGGCGCGGACGGAGCTGGTGTGCAGCTCGGCCCTCCCACCGCAGAAGCCTGAGTGAGAAGTTCATCTCTCAGGCCTCCGTCCCTACTCTTTCAAGTGAAAGTGGTGGAGCGTGTGATCGATCCCCAAGGGCCCTCATCATTAGAGATGCTGGCCCCAGGGGTTCACAATCGAAGCACTTTGGTCCTCCAGAGGGCTGGCCAGTGTTAGCTGCACTTTTTTGGTGTGCCAAGAATGAGGGAGAGGGACCAAGAGAAGACTCGGGGGGAGACCCCCTCCCACCCCAGCTCCCTACCTGCTCATCCAACAGAGCTCCCCAAAGCCTGGGCCATCTTTCCTGCAGTAGGAACACCATAAGGGACAGACCTGAACCCGTCTGAGCCTCAGTCTCCTCACCTATGGAGAGGGGAAAACGCTGCCCACGCCTCAGGGCTGCTAGGAACGACTGAAGTGAAGACCCTGTGCAGGTCTAGTAGCCATGCGCCCGCCCAGTACCGATCCGATCCCTTTCCTACTACAATACCCGTAACGCTGGATTTTGCTATGGCTCTCAACTGCACTTTGACCTAGCTCAAATGACACCTTCTGTCCTCCCTGAAGCCTTTAGTGACTCTCCCCTGCCCCTCTCCCTGAGGCAGAACCAGCCAGCCCCCCTCCTACAGCAGGCCTCGCTCTGCCCCCCCCCACCCCATTGCTGATCTCCTGGGGGCAGGGACTCTGCTCAGTGGAGGTCGGTACTCTCAGCACAGGAAAAGGGACGGGGGCCTCAATAAATGTGTACTGGATGGACAGATGGACAATGGTCAATGAGGGTACTGGCCTAGGTCCCAAGAGGCTCTTCTCCCCTCTGGTTCTGCCGGGTGGGTGAACTCCTCTGGAGTCTTAGCCAAAACAGGTTTCTGGCCCTGGAAGCTCAGGAATGCAACAGACACCACATGGGCTCAGAAGCCCTTGGGGTCCCTCTAGGCCAGGCTGGGTTCCTGCCGGCTCTGCTTCCATTTTCCCCCAGGGGCAGGACCCATGCCTTCTCGCCCACTCTAGACCCTCCTCCAGATTGTTCTGGCTGCACTGGGAAGGCTCTTCCCAAGCTTCCACAGAACTGACAAGGAGTCAGTGGAAGTGGTCTCAGTGGGACCATCCAACTCCAAACATGTCAGACTCCCCTTGGAGCAGAAAGGGGCCCAGTTCTGCCACTGGAAGCAGAGCCGACAGCCGCCGGAGACTTTCTGCCCCCGGGGGCTTGAGTGAGGACCAACCACGAGGCCTCTCCAGCTGCCTGTCAAATCCACGACGGCGCCACGGGGTCGGAGGGACGGACTACCGCCCTGTTCTACTGCCCCGGCTGGGTTAAATGACCTGACTGAAGCCACACAGTGAGTGGCGGAGTGGGGACTCCAGGCCAGGCCCGTCTGACCTCCGGCTCTCCTCCTCCTGCCCGCCTCCTCAGGGCCAGCAGAGAACAGAAACGTGAGCGGCCCTGGCACGATGTTTTGGTTAACCACACCTCATCGCTTGGCCCCTCTGTTCAAATGAGTTTCCATAATAATGATGCCGTCACAAATATTAAATAAGGACTTAAAAAATATAAACACTGGAAGAGGGTTTTGGTCCCCCCCCCCACCCCGAGTCTGATCAATTCTCAAATTTTAACTAATGGACATTTTAGAGATTCATCTAAGCACTATTTTCTGCAACTTGTCTAAAAAAACTCCAGTTTGGGATTAAAACAGCATTGGCCTCTCAGGAAGTAACTCAGGGAAGGTGGGCAGTGTTTGGAATAAAGGCGAGAAGGGCGCTTCCTAAGGGCCTGCCTCATGCTGGCCTCCGCCTCCATGGGACCTCGCTGATCGCGTCCCCAGCCTCTGATGGCTGATGCTTCTTACAAGATCAATCCACACCTCTCTGTGTGACTCACAAGGCTGTTCACAACGCAACTCGGTCGCTGTGCTTTGGCCTCCCCCTCTGCCTCTCGGATCCTGCACCGATCCTCCAAAGCTTCCAGCTGCTGTTCCCGTGAATGCCCCGCTCCTCCGTGCCTCCAGCCCCACACCTTGTCCGATGAAGCTCCCCTACCAGCTTCAAGAGCCTCAGCAGCATCAGCTCCCGGGGTGACCCTCCAAGCAGCGCTCAACTCTGGGCTCAACTCCTGGCTCCCGCTCCCGCAACCACGCCACCACCCTGTCTGCCGGACTGTCTTTGCCCCCGTCTCCCCACTACACGGTGAGCCCTCAGGAGAGGACCTGGGCCCTTCCGTCTGTGGGCTGCTGCCACCCAGCACAGAGCCTGGTCAGGGAAAGCATCCGTATGTGTCCCAAAAGGGTGAACGAGGCCAGGCAGCCGCCTTGCCTATGGCCCAGAAATCTGCGAGTACCTGTTCCGAATTGGCCGTGATGGGGCCCGTCACACTGAGAGCTGGGGCCTGCGGAGCGGAGTAGGGGACAGGAGGAGGCGAGGAATAGGAGCTGGTACTCGTCCTCTGCTGCGACTGGGACCTGGGCATGGCTGCGGCTGGATCCACTTCGGGGACGCTCTGGCACAGCAACAACAAAGTCCTCGGTTCACCTGGGCTGCCTGTGTGGCCAGCCCTGGCACCTACCCCACCCCGGGGCAGCCCTTCCCGCCACAGCAGCCAGCAGGCAGGCGGGGAGCCCAGCTTTACAGCTGACTCTGAGGCTGGAGGAATCCCTCTGCCCCCTGCACACCCAGGTTCTCCATCCACGAAGGGGGCTACCAACAGTTCCTCCCCGACAACCAAAGCCACTCAGAAAGGCAGCACTGAGGGCGCTCTGTGAGAGCTTTGGTCAGGGTTCCCATTATTAGGACCACCTCAGAAAATGAGTGGAGGGGGCCTGCTACGAAGTTTTGCTGATCACGGATCCCTGTTTGGTACCAGAAGATGATATTTTGGCCTTTACGAGGAGACTAATATAAATAGTAATTATGTAATTTACTGAATGTTCTTTGTAATCATAGACACAACAACACGGTTCTGTGTCATTATTAGAAGAATAAAACAGGTTACATTTATTCCACAAAGCATAGTAAGTGGTTTGGAGGGATCATAATGAGAATAATGCTTCGCAAAGTATAATTTCTTATGCTTTCCCTTTGAGCATCTCAGATAGCCTCTCGAACGTTAACTGTGATCCACGCAAAAGACCTGTATAGATGCTCTGGACTTCCTGCCCCCATTTCAGAGATGGGCAGATGGGAGGCCAGCAAGGCAGAGTGTGCTGGGACAAGGTGCCTCTCCCAGATCCTGGAGCTTCCTGGCTCTCCCCCGGGGTCAGGGGCTGATCCCCAGCCAGTAGAGGTACCAGCTTCCTGGGATGAATGGCGTCCATTCAGAAGCACAGAGCTGCCCCACACTGTAAGAGCTTCCATGGCAGGCCCCTAAACGGGCCAACCCTGGGCTTTGAATCCCAAGGCTGGTGGAATTCAAGATGTCTAGGCGGATGCTGAACAGTCGTAGGTCAAAATAAATTTTCAGTCTGTTTCAACTGTACAGTCCGAAAAAACCAAAAGCCGCCCTTTGCCCACGATCAGTGACATCACCAGCTCCCCCACATTGCCAACACTGAGGTGCCTCAGTGTTCTCCCAGGGAGATGCCGGTATCCCCACACCAGATTCCCGGGGCCTCTGAAAAGTAGGTGCTAGTGGCCCTCACGGGAAGGATGGCTCCGCCCAAGCAGCTATTTCCACGAAAATGTCGGAACTGATCCCTCTATTATATCCTTCCACAGTCAGATGAAAATGTGTGGCGGGGGAAGATCACTGCTGCCACTTAATCACCAGTCAACCAGCTGTCTCACTCCTGCATTCCCCTTGTTATTAAAAAGAGATGCCCTCAAGCTTTAAGAAAGCGTGATGACAAGCTGAATAATTCAAAGGCAGCAACAGAAGGGTGGTGGCAGTGGCTGGCCCGTTCTGCAATAGGTCTTTCTAGAAAATGCCAGCTGGAAGCTTACCCGCTGTGGTGTGTGGATGGGAGACAGAGCGTCCAAGTCTGCCATGGGAAATTCGACCCCTTTCCTCTTCAGTTCCTCATATATATGCACCACGCCGGTGAGGTCAGGGCTGCTTCGAAAGGCATCAGCCCACGCCTGGGAGGAAAGAGAGGGCCTGTGAGGAAGCATTTCTCACCAATGGCAGCCCAGGTGCTCTCGCAGAGGCCTATGCTCTCTGGCCAAACCCACTCTGTTCCTGTCCCCCTCACCACCCCCAGGGCTGCCACGATGTGACAGGCGAAATGTGGGTTTTTAACAGTGCTGTTGAGCAGGAACAAAAACACAGAACTTAATTCGGCATGTAGTATTTCCTTGGAGAAGATGCAGAGAAATAACACCTAAGCACTGTGGCGCATCCCAAAATGCAGGCATTTCCCTAATCGCCAGGAAATCAATTCCTGGTGGCGCTCAGCCGAAGGGCGTGAAGATGCAGGCCCTGCTGCCATGCCCCCAGGACACCGTGGGGACCACAGTGCCGCTCGGCTCTGTAGAGCTCTCAGGGGCGGAGGCAGGAGCCATAGGCAAACTGAACAGAAAGGAAAAGCGAAACTGATGTGTGACGAGAAATAAAGGCTAACGTGGGGTTTCCTCAGTGGATCGGAGCACGCGAAAGTGGAGACCGCCTAGCCCAGCTGGAGAGGCGACATGACGGTAGCCCAGGGGCGGGAGAGCCTGAGCCGCCCACAGTCTCAATGCACACCTGCCCACATGGCAAACGCCACCGCAAAGCACAGCCACTAGAGTCCCTTCGATGAAAACACCACACAGAAAGTCTGAAAAGAACACGTACTTCCAATAGATTCACTTTGCATTGATTCATGAAACTCGAAAAAATTTTTTTAGATATTTTGTTCTTGAGACACCTGGGTGGCTCAGTCAGTTAAGCATCTGCCTTCAGCTCAGGTCATGATCCCAGCGTCCTGGGATCGAGTCCCGCATCGGGCTCCCTGCTCAGTGGGGAGCCTGCTTCTCCCTTGGCCTGCCACTCCCCCTGCTTTTGCTCTCACTCTCTCTCGGGAAATAAATAAATAAAATATTAAAAAAAAGAAAATATTTTGTTCTTTGGAAGTTACGAAAGAAAGAAAGAAAGAAAGAAAGAAAGAAAGAAAGAAAGAAAGAAAGAAAGAAAAAAAAGAGAAAGAAAGAGAAAGAAAGAAAGAAAGAAAAAAAAAGAAAGAAAGAAAGAGAGAGAGAGAAAGAAGAAAGCAAGCAAGCAAGCAAGCACAATCTCCAAAGGGCTCCCCCGCCAAATAAAGCTCAGCTCTTCAGAACCACCCTGTCCTGTCACCACATACATACCCAGAGGAGGAGGCACAGAGTCTCGCGCCCACGGTTCTGTTGCCAATTCTGCTGTTGTCACAAGCCTTTAAGTGCCTTGCCTCCCTGGCTCTAGCGATGCATTCCAACCAATCCTGAGGCAGCCACAGAAACTCTATCTCTAACCAACAGACCCGTTTGAAGTTAAAAGGTCAGTTTCCAAAAAGCCTCGCTCATTCTGACTGATGCGTCTCACCACAAACATTACTGTCAGCCAGCCTTCCTTGATCCACTTATTTGATCTGCACACTTGGGGATTTAGTGCCCGCGGGAGGACGGCCCCTCTTGGCCAACACTTCCTTCTGGAGGCTGAGTAGGGTCCAAGGTGCCTGCAGAGGCCTGTCTGGAGTGCCAGCTGGAGAGCCGTAGCACCGAGGCCTGCCCCCCTAGGGAGTGCCCCAGAGCCCCGTTCTCCACCAGCTGCTTTGGCTGCCACCACCGGACTCAAAATCCAGCTGAGTCCCGGGAGGCTAGCCTCAAAACACAGCTAGCATGTTCATTTAAGGTCTAAGACCAGGTTTACAGCCTGCTGTGGGAGGCTGGGGAGAAAAAAGCATGACGGTTCTTCCTGGTGCCGTCTCCTACCTCTATTTCTATGGGAGGACAAACCGCTCCAGGGGTCCACTTTTCATTTACCTTGCTCTCCATCTCAGCCAGATCGGAGATAGAAGAATGGAAATTAAAGAACCATCACTGTGCTCTCCAGGCAGTGGAGACTTCTCAGGGCGCCTGCCCCGACAGCGAGCCAACAGGCCCCCTTCTCTGGGACTGTGTCTTCTGTGGCACCAGGAGGGGAATACACAGCCTAAGTTGGGCCAGTCAGCTTCCCCTCCTCCAGGAGCTTGGCCCTGAGCTTGGGGAGAGCTGGATTGCTCTCCTTGGGTAGGTGACACTGTCCTCTATAGATGTGGGCCCTGGGAGGCAGCGACGTGCCCACTGGGGACCAGGGAGCAGAGACAGCCTATGTGTTGGAAGGTGCAGCCAAGAGAGGATTTGGAGGGTTTTCCTGATCTCTTCTTGTCCCTTCCTCCCCAGGTCCAGTCACACCCCAGGGTTCTGGGAAGCCCTGCCTGCTCATGACAAACTCTCCTCTTTGCCTAGGGAAAAGCTGGGATTGGCATTTGATACCTGCAGCCAAGCAGTCTTGGCTCATCTACTCCCTTCCCGCCTGCTACTATTTCAACCCCTGTATGGGACCCCTGTGTGGTGTGGGGTCAGCTGGCTGCTAACAGAGCATATGTTCATGGCAGCATTCTCTACCGAACAAGATTCTGGTGCCAACAGGGAGCAAGGCGGGGGGCACCTTTAAAGGACAGTCATAAGTGGAAACACAGAATCGGGATACATGCAGAGACACTGGGCTTCTCGCATCTTCCTGGCACCATGCTCAAATACCTTGCTCCTGTCTTGTTCCCCAATAGGTCATACCTGTGAAGGCACACATCGAGTCTTGTCCTTGCACAGAGAAGGCAGTCAATCACCATTTGTCAAATTAGACTGACTTCAGATCTCACGGTTACTAAGCATCCTTATTGTTCTACTTGGGAGAACACAGGAAGACGGCCAGTTAGGCTGTCCATGGACTGAGGTGACTGTGACAAAGAAAGCAGGAGCCCCACTGGACAGCTGACCCAGCTGATATTTCAGAATCTGCTCTAGGGTAGAGGTGGCAAAACTCAGGAAGTCTGGTTCACTCTGGGTCCCCAACCTAAAGCCAGGGAGCCACAGGGGTGGTGTCGGCAGGCTGCCCTATATGAAAGCAAAGTGCTTTTCTGGCATATGTCTAAGGTGTTGGGGGCTGAAAGACCCAGAGGAAGGACAAATAGGGAGAGAAAAAAAAGAATTTCATGTTTTCATTTCCTTTGCTCCTTGGGATTGTACACCAAACGCCAGACTGAGGACTTATACTACCACAAACTGTATTGTACTTGTTTCTATATCCCTCAAGTTTTGACAAAGTTTTAAATCATCCAATTTCAGATCAATGAATGACTGCTGATTTAGATTGTGGGTTCCGTTCTCTGGCTTCTGCCACGTTCTGCTTCTGCTCTTGGACCAGACTGCCTAGTCCCAGTGACAGGGTCTCCAGAGAGCTGCCAGTCCACACGGAATGTGGCCAAAGGCCGGGCCACCACGTCTCTGACACCTTCCAAGAATACAACACCTCCAGCTCCTGCCCCCACCCCTACCCTCTCACTTTCTTCAGTGGAAAGAAAAACCTTCAGTGGAAAGAGGGTATTTTTAGATTCGATTGCTAGGAGGAAGGGGGTGGGGAGGCAAGGTAAGGGGGGGAGGGGGAAGGGGGAGGGGGAGGGAGGCAGGAGAAGCATGATCACCGTGAGGTTACCCTACCAGGATGGTATCATTTCTGTTCCTGAAAGCAACTGCAAGGGAAAGTCTGAGGGATGGCACAGAGTACAAGTGTCCTTCTTGTCTTATGAACAAATGGGACTTTACATGAAGAAACAGAAAGGCACGCAGCCAAAGGCCAGCCAGGGACCAGGTGAGAAACAGAGCGAGGGCTGAAGGTAGCAGGCAGTTCAAAGGCTGCCCTGCTCTCAACATCTCTCCTCTCTTGCTGCCAGGGAGACCAGCTCCCCTCCCAAAGGGCAAACTCCTGTGGCGGGGAAGCCCACTGGGCCCTTACCTGAGTCAGGTAACCACTTCCAACTGCCCTGCCTTACGGCTTACGCGCTGGGCTTGGGCTGGGGGAGATGGAGGGCAATCTGAAGGGCAGGGCCTCGGGTGCACGTAAGCCTGAGGCGCGGTCTCTTTTGGGGGGCCTGGGGGAGATGGGGTGGCTACGGAGGGCTAGAGGACAGCCAGAGGATACAGATGCCTCGATGAGAGAAGGGACAGAATGTGGGAATGAAGAGATAGGCATCCACTGGTTCTCTTCAAAAATCCCCCAGAGGGCTGCTGATAGCAAACGTGTGCTGGTGGCCAATCTCAGGCTGACAATGCCTGTGATCAGCATCCCAGGAAAGGAACTGGAAGGCATGGTGGGGGCCAAAACATGTGAGGACAAGCACCCATTTCCCTACAGGCACAGGGAGACTCTCAGAAAAGCTGGTTTGGAGGGGCGCCTGGGTGGCTCAGTCGGTTAAGTGTCTGCCTTCGGCTCAGGTCATGATCCCAGGGTCCTGGGGTCGAGCCCTGCATCGAGCTCCCTGCTCAGTGGGGAGTCTGCTTCTCCTTCTCCCTCTGCCTGTTGCTTCCCCTGCTCTCTCTCTGTCAAATAAATAAACAAGATCTTAAAAAAAAAAAGAAAGAAAGAAAGGAAAGCTGGTTTGGAGACAGGCCCCCTCCCTGCTTCCACCGTAGGGGAGCAATCAGAGGGACAATGGACTCAGGCTGATACCTGGTCATCAGAGCCTCAGGTCCCACCTCCACCAGGAGCTCCAACCATGCTTCCTGGGCTGGGGTGGGGAGCACTTCTCCGTCTAACCCCTTGGCCTTAAAAGCTTTTCAAGTGTCAATATGTTCAGAGTTTAGGGCTGCCCCTCAAATATCCCAAAGCCAGCTCAAGTCCTCCCTGGGTAGGCCCTGGCCCTCTGTCATCTGCAAGCCTCCGTCTCTCCATAAAATCACCAGCTCCCCACGGGCAGGGCTGGGATTGGCCCAGTTCCACTTCCTGGCAGCTGGGCTCCGAAGAGCACTTAGAAACGCCTGGATGGCGAGGATGGTGAGGAAGAAGCTGTCATGACTCTGGCACCCACACAATTTGACCGCACCTCTTTTTGGTCTCCCTGCGTTTCTACGATGGCCTGCTGCCTCCTCCCACGCTGGCAAGAGGGCCGGGGATCCATTGCCATTGCCCCCGCCCCCACCCTTGTGTCATGGTGGGAGCAGCACCTGCCCTTCCTGGGGGGGGCGGATATCAGACTCTCAGGGCGGACTGCCCAGTTCTTTCAAGTATATTCAACAGGCAAATAAAGTCCTCTTCTTTCTCCAGGGAATTAAGAACAGGTTGACAAGATGCAGTACGTCCACACACTCATTGGATGGGCTTTAGTGCGGATGCATTGGTGAAAACGTTGTGCACCTAAAGCTCTTGGGTGCTGGTGGGAAGGAACAGCAGGGCCTACTGGTGTAAGTACTAAACTGGAGCATGGCCATTCCCCACCACCCAGCAATTCCGCTCCCAGCTGTGAGGCTGACCCCTACGGAATCGCTAATATTTTATTATTTTTGACCAAAAAGATGGCAGTTTCATACCTAATATAAACGGACATGCATGCTCACCCAAAGACACCTGTTACCTGTTAATAGCAGCACTTTTCGTAACGGCTGGGGTGGGGAGCACTTCCCCAAATGGGGAACAGCATGTCCCCACCATCAGTGGGAAGGATACACAAACCATGGTGCATTCACTCACAGGGACTTGGCCAGCGATGTGAGCAATGGGAACAGAGGCCGAAGGTCATACCCAGTGACAAGGTGAGACCCACAAAGAAGGCGCGGCCAGACACACAGACCTAACAGAGCACTGCTGCAGAGTCCACATAGATGAAGTTCAAGAACACGAGAACTCCATCCAGGCTGTGAGGTGAGGGGGTCCTCCCAGAAGGTTGGGGCACTTTGGGTGTGGGTCATATTCTGCTTCATGACACAGGGGCTGGCTACCCAGGTATGTTCAGTTTGAAAAACCTTATCAAGTTGTACGTGCTAGTTAAATCTGTGATCTCCTGTACATATGTTAGAATTCGGTAAAAAGAAAAGGCTGAAGATCCTGTTTGGTTTTTTGTCCACCCCATTCCAGAAGCCAAGCCAGCCACCAGCTCTGAATGCTGTCTGCTTTCTGTTGGGTGGCCATAACCAAAGACAAAAGTTCCTCAGGAAGCTTTAAAACCTGGAGAGGAAGAACCATCCCCAGGCAGGTAAGCAAGCCCACCAGAGAGTACCCTTATCCAAAACCCTTGGCATTTTCCCAGCTGGACCAGGCTGACCGTCCAGCACATCCTTGCTAGACAAGGAGCCCGCAAGGCCCTCAGGGGCCCATCCTGCTCCTGCCCCTGCGGGTGGGCGCGCATGCCGCCACCGAGCCGGCAGGGGGAGTCCTCATGACACAGGCGCCGGCCGCTGAGGCCGCTGAGCCCCTGCGGGCTGATCTCAGACTCGGAGTAGGGAGGCAGGGACATAGGCCCCCATTTTGCAGATAAGGAGGTAGAAGCCCAGAGAGGCTCAAATACCTGCGGAGGTTACACAGCTGAGAGAAGCAGTGCTGAGAGCAGGCGGTGACCCTGCTGGGAGAACTGGGCCGACGTCTCTGGGGACAGTCACAGCTATAGGCTCCCCAGTGCCCTTGCCAACAGGGGCAGCGCAGATCACAAGCCTGGCCACAGCTGTGCCTGGCAGGGGCTGGCCAACCACCCACCGGGCCTTGGCACAGGAAGTGCTCCTTCCAGGCCTGACTCCAGAGAGACCCTGCCTGTGGCCACTGTGGGCCCGCACAAGCGGTTCAGGCTGGGGCGCCCCCTCTGTTGTGAGCAAAAAGTCACTATTTACTGGCCTGACATCAAATACTGGGGGTGTTGAGGCAGGGGAGTGTACTGGAAAGGCCCAGAATGGGGGAGTCGACGGCAGAAGTAGGGGTGGGGAGGGTAGAGGGTGAGGTGGTTTGCACCTCTGTGTGTATGTGTGTGCGTGTGTGTGTGAAAGAAAGGGGAGGGAGGGAGGGAAGGAGGGAGGGAGAGACATGAAGACACGCCAGGTGGGCAGAATGAAGAGATAGGGACCACCTAAGAAGGAGGCGGCTCTGCGGTCACCCACACTCTTCCCTTTCCTAGAGCTTCAGCAAACCATGGTCACCCATTCATTCAGAAAAACAACTTACCTATCACCTACTCTACACAGTCAACTGCCCTAGACCCCGGGGATATAATGTCCCCGGACACTCAGGGAACTCAGAGGCAGATGAGAGAAAAGTCAGTCTGGAAGTAGAGAAGACCAAAGAAGACGGTGACAGGAGAGAGGGGATGCTGTAAACCTAGGGGTGGGGAGGCCTCTGGGGGCCGTCTGAAGGACGGAGAAGACTTGCAGGCAGAGGACGCCCGAGAAAACCTCAGCCAGGGCCCCACCTTCCTCTCCAGGCTCAGGTGCCACCACCACCTTGGATACCCCGAGCCTACCTCGGATCACAGTGCCTCCTGCCCAGCCCAGCCCACCCCCCTCTCCTCTTGGCTCCTGCAGACAACAGCACTAATGTGCTCACTGACAAATGTGCCTTCCACCCTGTCACCAGGGGGCTCAGTCTAAAATCCAGATCCCTCTGTATACACCCAGTTCATAAATGTGCAGTGGTTCCCCACAGCCCCCAGGACAGAACACCGACTATCGGGATGCACGGCCCACAAGCCCCTGACCATCCTTCTGGCCTCAGATATTCTTCATCACACTCTATGCTCCATGTGATGGCTTTAAAGCAGCCTCCTCTCTTCAAGACGTGCAGCATCATTCCCTGACTCTTGAGGCTGGACCTGGGGACTTCCCTTCTAACAAATGGAACAGGACAGAAGAGATGGTGCGTGACTTCTGAGAGTCAGTCCCAAGGGGCACCACAGCTTCTTTCCCGAGCTCTCTTGGATCGCTTGCTCTAGGGACAACCCGCTGCCATTTTATGAGGACACTCAGAGGAGTCCACACAGCAATAAACTCAGGCCTCCTACCAATAGTCAGCGAGCAGCTGGGGCCTCCTGCCAACAGCCCTGTGGTGAGCCACCTTGGACGTGGCTCCTCCAGCTCACCGAGCTCGCAGATGAGGCAATTCTGGCTGACATCTTGACCACAACCTCCCGAGAGCTCCTGAGCCAGAATCACTCATCTAAGCTGCTCCTGAATTCCTGACCCACAGAAACAATGAGATAATAAACATTTGCTGTGTTAAACCCCTAAGTTTTGGGATAATTTGTTACAGAGCCATTAATACCGAATACATCCGGCATGTGTCATGTGTTTTCGATGCACATGCTATCCCCTTTGCCCTCGCTACTTCTCACACTCCCACATCTCCGCCAAGCTCCCCACATCCTTCAGGGTCCAAAAGAAATGTCATCTCCTCAGTGAATCACTCTTTTAACACCGTCTCCCCCGATCCCACCCCGCTTGCCGCAGAGCTGGCCCCAACCCAGTGCCTCACCAGCCCTGCATATGGCTCCAGTATGGCCCTTTGTCCCTGATGGCCTGGAGGCCTCGCAGGGCCCCCCACCTGCCCCTGGGGGCAACAGAGAGCCATGGCACCCAGAAAACCAGTGAAGGCTCTGTCAACTGGCTTGAGAGCTACCTCTCAGGGTTTTATTCCAGTGCGATGAGCGGAGAAGCAGAAGCATTTCGCAACAGGTATTTAAACCCAGGAGGGTCTCCATTCTTTCCTCCAAATGATGGGAAAGCACGAGGACCCCCTGCTGAGGGGCCCCACCTCACTCAGTCCCAACAAACTGCACGAGGGGAGCTCGCCTACCTGGATCAGAGCGAGCACCTTATCCTGCACAATGGTGGGAGGGTTGTTCTTGGGAGAGATGATTTTGACCAGGACGCTGTCGATGAAATCCCGGTTGGCCACGAGAATGTGGAAGCGGTGGCCACAGTTCTTCACACACGTCTCCAGCACCTGAGGAGGGAGGAGAGGAAAGCAGGGTCACCACCGTGGCAGCCAAGTTTCCACCCCGACCCCACCCTTTGCTTCTCCCACGTGGCCCCACCATCTCCTTCAGGGTCACACGGGGATGGCACTGCATCCCTCCACTCTAATTCAGGCGTCCCTCGCTGACTAAAGTCGCCTGTCCCTGCACAATAATCAGGCAATTAGTTGGTAATTGAGGCACCAGTTTTGCATGAGAAGGATGCTGGTGTTTTAATGAGATCAAAATGACTGAGCGGCCCCTGAAAATTAGCATTTTAACTCCTCTCTCCGGGCTCCTGGGTGTGAGACATTAGCCAATGGGACTCAGGCTCTGTCACAGAGAGGGCGGCCGTGACAGCCTGAATTGCCACGTGAATTATTGGCCCTTGGATGTGAGGAAGCAAGCAAACACACACACACACACACACTCACTCACCCTCACACATACACACATACACACGTACACGCCCCACACAACCCTGCCTCTGCCAACTCAAATTGGCAATGACTAAGAATTTTCTACTCTTAATAAACGGTTTGTGGGCCTCTGCTGCCAGTCAGCTCCCAGGTCCATGTTCACTCCAAACCCTGCTCACTCTTCCCCTGTCTGGAAAAACTAAGTACATAGGCCTTAGCCACTCAAAAGCACAGTGCGCGTGGGTTCTGGAAGGATGGCCAGTGTGGGCTTGAATCTCAGCTCTGCCACCTCCTCCCTGAATGGCCCAGGACAAGCCTGAGCTTCAGCTTCCTCACCTGTAAAGTGGGTACTTGAGTACCGCCCTTGCAGAACTGTAGTAAGGATGCCAGAGTATGTCTGAAGCACCTAGCACAGTGCCCTGCGTGGGGCGGAGGCAGTAAATGAGGACCATGATGTTATGATTACCATTCAGGAGGCTGCTGTACACACTTGAGGAAAGGAAAAACTGCCCAGTCCCCACAGTACAGGGGAGAGGCCCCCTGGAATTCAGAGGTACCCACTGAAGGGTCTCTCCAGCCTTGAACACAGTTTCCTGAACCTTTTTTTTCTTTTTTTAAGATTTTATTTATTTATTTGACAGAGAAACAGACAGCACAATGGTGGGAGGAAAAGGAACCCAAGCAGGGGGAGTGGGGGAGGGCGAAGCAGGCTTCCCGCGGAGCAGGGAGCCCGACGTGAGGCTCCATCCCAGGACCCTGGGATCATGACCTGAGCCGAAGGCAGACGCTTAACCGACTTGAGCCACCCAGGCGCCCCATGAACTTCTCAGCTCTCTGTAAACCAGCCCATACAATCACCTGGCCCTTCCCACACCAGCAACCCCCAATGCCATGGTCAGCTAGTGGGAAATGCCTCCCTGGAATGTGCCCGGCAACAGAGGACATTTCTGGCTGCCTGAGTATCTTCAGTGGCCCAGACGGAGCTGACCACTGGTTACCTTACGCAGCAATTCCACAGGGCTGGGTTCATACAATGAGCCTTGACAAAGCATGGCCATTAGGAAAGGTCCACACCCTTAACACTGACGGAGAGTGGACTACAAGCTGGGCACCATGCGGGAGCCTCCACGTTATGTACCATTTCATTCCAGTCTCACAACGAATTAATTCTCTTTAAGTGGATCGGCCTTCTCCAGAGCCCTTGCCTCCTCACCCACGAAGAGGCCACAGGGCTACCTCCCCCACCCCCCAAGAGATCAGGGAGTCCCCCTCAGATGACAAGCAATGGGTGACAGATTTCTTGTTCCTTCATCTGGTCCTGGAAATTGCCCGGAAAGGTGGGTATTATCCCATTTTCGAAATGATGAAGCTGAGGCCTGGAGATGCCGGTAAATTCCCCGAGGAGGCCAGAGCTGGCATGTGCCCCCTGCCTGACAGCCACAGAGCCAGTCAAAACGGTGCCTTTCCCCACTGCCTGCCTGCCTGCACCATGGGAGGCTCTGGGTTCTGCTCGGCTTGCCCAAGAAGACCCCAAAGCTCAGCATCCTCGGGTCACTGAGCTTTTCCTCAGCCAAGGGGGCATTCTTTTTCTTAGCCTCTGCGTGTGCCTGATTCCAGGTGACCACAAGGTAACTAGCATTCACCCTCACAGTGACCGCAGGGACTGCAGAGAGGAACCAGAAGGGTTCTTCTTGCCCTCCAGGAACTCACAGCTTCCCTTCTTTCTAGCATCCTCTAAAACCCTCTCCAAACTTTGCCTATGCAGGCATCGGGCTGCTGAGGCCAAGGCAGGTGGCAGGGAGAATGGTTTATTTTATGAGGAACGGGCAGGGAAGGGAGGGGCAGGAGGCTGGGAAGAAAGCAGGTGTGGTGGGAAAGAACACGACATAAAGGGGAGCAGGAAGGCCAACATGGCAGGGCCGCCGTGGCTCTGTCACCACACTCAGGGCCAATAGTGGGCGAGGACGCCCATCTCACCTTTGGAGAGCACATCCTTATGTCTTCCAGGAGAGCAGACTTTAAAGTCAGTGTGGCAGGGCGCCTGGGTGGCTCAGTTGGTTAAGCGACTGCCTTCGGCTCAGGTCATGATCCTGGAGTCCTGGGATCGAGTCCCGCATCGGGCTCCCTGCTCAGCAGGGAGTCTGCTTCTCCCTCTGACCCTCTCCCCTCTCATGCTATCTCATTCTCTCTCTCAAATAAATAAATCTTAAAAAAATAAATAAATAAATAAATAAAAATAAAGTCAGTGTGGCCTAAGCTGGCCCTTGCAGCTCAGATTCAGGTTTGGAAGTGCCCTGGATAGAGGTGGTGTGTGCTCCAGAGCAGCCCTGAAACCTAGCAGAGCAGCAGACGCAGGAGGCCCTCCCTGGCTAGCAAGGGCCACTCAGCCACTTCAGGGACTCTGCCAAAAATGCCCCTGGTAAATGGGTCCCTGTGGGTTGTAAGGCATGAAACACACAGCAACCATTTTCCAGCAGCCGAAGCCCACAGAGTGACAAAAAGTGCCTCTAAGCAATCAGAAATGGTGGTTTCAAGTCTATTTCAAGTCCATACACTGTCTATACACCAAAGCAGAGAGCCTCTCTCGGCCTCTGATGAACTTGTCAAAGGCCCACAAGGAGCAGGAGGACTGAGAGCAGCTAATACAGTAAAGTAAGACAAAGACAGAGAAGCCATAAAGGTAGACATGAGATCCCACAACAGGCACCAGGCTGGAGCCTTTGGTGTGGGGACAAGGGATCTGCCCATGTCAGAAGGCTCCCAAAGGCATCTCTGGATTTGCAGTGAAGACCTGACCACATCAACAAACAAGCAAACAAAAAACAAAAAACTTAGGCATAAATTTAACCAAGGAAGTGAAAGATCTATACCCTGAAAATTATAAGACACTGATGAGAGAAATTAAAGAAGCCACAAATAAATGGAAAGATATCCCATATTCACGGATTGGAAGAACTAATATTATTAAAATGTCCATACTACCCAAAGCCATCTACAGATTTCACAGAAACTGGAGAAAAATCCTAAAATTCATATGGAACCATAGAAGACCCTGAATAGCCAAAGCAATCTTGAGAAATAATAATAAAGCTGGAGACATCATAGTTCCTGATTTCAAACTATATTACAGGGCTATAATAATCAAAACAGTATGGTACTGGAAAAAAAAAGACAATGGAACAGAATTGAGAGCCCAGAAATAAACCCATACATAAATATATGGTCAACTAATATTTGATAAGAGAGATACGAGGGTTCAATGGGGAAAGGAAGTCTCTTTGATAAACAGTGTTGGGACAATTGGATTAACCACATGCAGAAGAATGAAACTGCACCCCTATCTTATACCACTCACAAAAATTAACTCGAAATGGACTAAAGACTTAAATGTAAGACCCGAAACTGTAAAACTACCAAAAGATAACACAAGAAAAAAGTTCCTTGACACTGGTCTTGGCAGAGACTTTTTTTTTTTAAGATTTTATTTAGTCATCTGAGACACAGAGATACAGAGAGAGAGAGAGCATGAGCAGGGGGAGAGGGAGAAGCAGGCTCCCCCTGAGCCAGGAGCCCAACATGGGGCTCGATCCCAGGTCCCCAGGATCATGACCTGAGCCGAAGGCACGCACTTAACCTAATCTGAGCCACCCAGGCGCCCCTTGGCAGAGACTTTTTCAATGTGACACCAAAAGCAAAGGCAACAAAAATGAAAATGAACAAGTGGGACTATGTCAAACTAAAAAGCTTTTGCACAGAAGAAACAATCAGCAAAATTTAAAAGGCACTCTACAGAATGGGAAAAAATATTTGCATCCATCTATCCAATAAGGGGTTAATATCAAAAAAATATAAGGAACTTAACTCAAAAGCAAAAAAGCCCCCCCAAAAAACAACAAAAAACCAAAACCAATCCAATTAAAAGTGGCCAAAGGTGGGGCGCCTGGCTGGCTCAGTCAGAGCATGTGACTCTTGATCTCGGGGTTGTGAGTTCAAGCCCCATACTGGGTGCAGAGATTACTAAAAATAAATAAATAAACCTAAAGAAAATGGGCAAAGGACTTTAAATAGACATGTGTTCAAGGAAGATGCACAAATGGCCAAGAGGTACATGAAAAGATTCTCAACATCACTAATCAGGGAAATGCAAATCAAAACCACAGAAAGAGATCACTTCACACTTGTTAGGATGGCTATTATCAAAAAGACAAGAGACAAGTGTTGCCGAGGACGTAGAGAAAAGGGGATCCTTGTGCACTGTTCGTGGGAATGCAAATTGGTGCAGCCACTATAGAAGACAGTGTGGAGGTTCCTAAAAAAAAAAAAAAATTAAAAACATAGCTACCATATGATCCAGCAATCTCACTTCCGGGTTATGTGTCTAAAAGAAATGAGGAGGGGCGCCTGGGTGGCTCAGTTGGTTAAGCCGCTGCCTTCGGCTCAGGTCATGATCCCAGGGTCCTGGGATCAAGCCCCGCATCGGGCTCCCTGCTCAGCAGGGAGTCTGCTTCTCCCTCTGACCCTACCCCCTCTTGCGCTCTCTTTCTCCCTCTGTCTCAAATAAATAAAATAAAATCTTTAAAAAATAAAAATAAAAGAAATAAATAAAAGAAATGAAAACAGGGTATCAAAGAGATATGTGTACCCCCAATGTTCATTGCAGCATTATTCACAATCAAAGTATCCACTGAGGGGTGAATGTATAAAGAAAACGTGATGCATGTGTGGTACTTCTTTATCCATGTATACACACACACACACAGGAATACTATTCAGCCATAAAAAGGAAGTAAATCCTGCCTTTTGCGACAACATGGATGGACCTTGAGGTCATTACACTAAGTGAAACAAGTCAAATACAGAGAAACACCCAATTTTCTCACTTACATGCGGAATCTAAAAAAGCTGAACTCATAGCGACAGAGTAGAATGGTAGCTGTGGGGCAGGGGAAATGGGGAGATACGGGTCAAAGGGTACAAATTCCCAGCTAAAAGATGAGTAAGCTCTAAGGATCTAATGTACAGCATAATGACTATAATTAACAATACTGTAGTATATACTTTACAGTTAAGAAATTAGATCTCTTTTTTAAAGATTTATTTATTTGAGAGCGAGCACGTGAGTGCGCATGCGTGCACATGCACAAGAGCTGGGGAAGTGACAGAGGGAGTGAGAGAGAATCCTCAAGCAGACTCCCCTCTGAGCGGGGAGCCCGACATGGGGCTTGATCCCAGGACCCTGAGATCATGACCTGAGCAGAAATCAAGAGCTGGACGCTCCACCAACTGAGCCACCCAGGCGCTCCAAGAAATTAGATCTTAAATGCTATCCCCCCCTTCCCCAAGGAAGGTAATTATGTGAGCGGACAGAGGTGTTTACTACAAAAAACCAAAACCAATCCAATTAAAAGTGGCCAAA